GTGGGGGTGGGGTCTAGAAAGCTTGAGCTCAAAACCTTAACATTCTTCGGAAAGCAGCGATCGTCACGTGAAATATCCCCAAGCTCTTTGGCACTTTTAGCAAGCACAATTCACGCGTTTGAGAGATATAAGAAGTTTTGTCCAAGCCCGACTAATCTTTTCTCTCATTGCAAAAGTAGGTTGAAGTTTGGGGTAATGAATGGGATTTGAATATGGCTGATTGTGAGTGAAAGATTTATCGTTTAGGACTGATTACGAGTTGAGGAACAAGTATTGATCAGGATGATGGGGGGAGCTTGAGATGGAGAGTCGAAATTCGAGGATCGAGGACTACTCCTCTGATTTTATAATCCTTTCCCCCTTAAATCAACGCGACCAGACTCAGAGAATGACTCGGAAGTACACGACAACGAGGCAGTGTTTTGAACATTGAAAGCTGTGCAGTTTCAAGGTCCCCACCAAATACACACTTGTCTGGATAACCATCCTTTCGACTTGCCAAGCCACTCTCATCAGGCAGCTCAGATTGAGTTGGAAAAGTAATGATTTTCATAAAGAGTTGAAAGAACCGGGCGCATACTCCGTACAATGGACCTGGTAGTAATCAATCAACCAAGTCTTATGTAATTAAAAAGGGAGGTCAGTAAGGGAGCAAAGTACAATATGTACAACATTCGATAGTGGGGGTTGTGAACAATATCCATCTGTCTGGATGATGAGTTCAAATATTCTATTCTTGCATGCCACATATGATGATACAAGGGACCCATGCCGTGGCTGACATATGTAGCTTTTCGTTCCTTGATTTTGTGTTCCTGAATCTCAAGGGGTGAGAAGGTCGAGAAGGATATCTATATACATATACATAGATGTATTGCCGGCAGTAAAATGATTGGTTATTCATTGCACAATCTTCCTCTCCTTTCACTCCGTATTTTCAGTTCTCCTGAAATTTGGCTGTTGATAGAATGGTTGTGGCCAACCTCGCGTTGGGTCGAGGATGGCAGCTCTTCAAGTATCATTGTCCAAAGGGTAAGGTAATCTGATATCATCAATGTACTTTCTTTCCTTTCTTTTCTTTTTTCGGAAAAAGAAAAGTGTTAGAGGGGTCGGGGTTTGCCTTGTGGCATATTGAGGCGGCAACCTTCAATCAAGCCTTCTTCCTCTTCCAATCTTATGGTCAAAAGCTTGGAATTCTTCTCGTGACGTCGTAATGTACTAATTCCCTGCGAAGAGATTGGTTATCATCGAGGTAGAGGTAAAGGAAGGCAGCTAGTTTCGGGTAGACTTGGAGTCATACGAAGGAGGCAGTCATCCTTTTTCGCCAGTTCAGATCCAGAGTCTGTTCATATCCAGCCTCTTCAGATTGCGAGGTTTTGTCGAGGCTTTCTTCAAATTTGGAAGGATCTCGGGATGAGGGGGAGCGATATTGATAAGAAGAAATTTGCTCAAGGTCACGAGCAAGAACAAGTCAGAGAGAACGACAGAAGAGATTATTGTGGTGTTGATATTGGGAATGGTACTCGTGGTGAGTCGGAATCCTTTCATAGGTTTATTAGAGTGTCCTTTCCGAGTTTATAAAATCGCGGGCTTTCAAGTGAAAATCCAACCGGCCTTATACGATATTGTTAGTACTTTCTGGGTATATATGCATATTATACTGTAACCATGACGGCGCCATTACTACCTGTTGTATACAAAACACTTCAGAGCATTCTGTGAATTCAGCAATAAATCTTTCAATTCACCTTAAAAATCTACCTTCACCCCTTTTCATCTTCTAGAATTGTATCTGGCAAGGCTACTACCCTCTAAGCTTGTCCAGAGAAAATCTTCCTGGGGCAAGTTCTCAGCTTCCTAGACCCTTGATTCAATTCCTCAACTCTCAATGTCTCTCGTCAACTCACCCCAAACGTCTTCAATAATTGAAGTTAGCTGATTGAATTATCTTATTATCAAGAGCAAACGATGGATGCCTCAAACAGAGCGATCTACGTTGAAGAAGGCGTAGATGTGTCTTTCGGAATTGGCAATGGTAAGAGTTTCTCTCTCATTACTTGACAGCCGCCTCCGATCTAGGAGCCGAAACCTGAAAGTGTGCAGTTTTGTCTGTCAATAAAGAGAGCACCTAGCTAATGTTATCATCAAAAGTCTCCTCTAGATACGCATCTAAGACCAGGCCATGCTCACCAGCTTTATCGGATGCATCCTCGTGTACTCTGAGAGAAAGCTCGCCAGAGCCAGAAACATGGTCGAATCCCATATCAACAGATTCCACAGTACTCGATACGCAGCCTTCTTTCAAATCTCTCTCCATATCACCCGAGACATCTGACACGCCTATAACACCTGCAACACCAGCCAAAAAGCGGTCTTTGGAGGAAAGTGAGCTATCTTTCACGAATCTGGAGATCTTTAATGCTTCCAAGCGCCACAATGGGACTCCACTCTCATCGTTTCGTAGTGCTTGTCACATGAGTTCTAGACCTCTTCAGTCCTGCAACACTCCGCACGCTGCTTCGCTCGGCCAGAGAATCCCATTAAATAGCCTTCGTACTCACCGAATCAATCCCGAGGTTGTATCTCCAATTTCAAATCAGTCCAAAACTGCTCGCGCTGAAACCAATACCCCTCGCCAGGACCCTATCATCGCAGCTCCGAAGGAAATCATTAATATCGACGATGAAGAAGACTTCCCTGCTTTTCAAATACCTCCCGGAGTCGAAGTCATTGATCTAGACGAATATGAGAAAGAAAGTGAACTTGAGGAGGATATCTTTGGCATTGAGCAACGTGCTGGGGCTCAAAGTAACTTTCAACGTGCTTTTCTTGCCGACAGAAATCCTGAGATCGTACCTCCCAATATAGAAATTCAATCACTAGCATGGAAATCTAGTCTTCTCAGACCCGAGAAAACAGTAGAGCTGAAGAACGGAACTTTCCTGAAAATCAAATCAATCGTCAAGAATCTCGCAAGTGATGAGATTTCGATCAGAGGGTGGAAGCTCGTGCGTACTCGAGATCGAATGCTTGGTGGTGTTGCAGGAAAGAAGAGAAATGAGCTTGCATTTATTCATGAGGTTGATAGGGACGACAAACGAGATGTATGGGAACAATCTGTACATACGATTCGAGCGGATGATGTTCTGAAGATCCGCCGCTTGATTTGTACTAATAGACTTCTGCCGGAATGTAGATACAATAAAGATGACATTCCGGTGGAGATTCGAAGTAAAGAAGAGAATGAGATACTAAAATATATAGAGGAGGAGATGGTATTGGTGGCTAGAATCGCGTTTGTGGCTAGATATCCGAATGCAGAAGCGAGAGTAAGGAAAGGTGCACTTGTCGATAGACCCAGAGAATCGGGAATTTTGAGATCTCTGCAGAAAAAAGAGTGCACAGAAGGTTATTATATCGATCCAGATGAGAAAAAGAGGGGGTGGAGAGGAGAAACTATTTTGGGCGGCTCGGGAAATCTCGACAACGAAAGAAATGGATTCAATTTCAGCTCTCAATACACATACGGCGATGGATGTGAGTTCAAATCCCTTGACATTTTTAGACTCATCTAACAAAAGCGCTCAGACTGCGGAGCAGGAGGTATGACCCGTGGTGCTATAGCAGCCGGTCTCAAAGTGAAATGGGGCTTCGATTTCAATCCACACGCAGGCGAGACATGGCAAAAGAATTTTCCCGATGCAAAATTCCATCTCTTGCCTGTCAATGAATTCGCCGCTCTCCCTGATCCGCGCAAGAAACTCTGGGTCGACATCCTCCACCTCTCTCCTCCCTGTCAAGTCTTCTCGCCAATCCACACGTGTCCAGGACGCAACGACGAAATGAACTACGCGGCTCTCTTCGGCGTTATGGCTGCAACTGAAAAAGCCAGACCGAGAATCGTAACTCTAGAACAAACTTTTGGGATCCTGCATCCGAAACACAAAGATGCTTTTAATGGGCTCATCGCCTGTTTTACGAATCTGGGTTTTGATGTTTCGTGGAAAGTGGTGAGCTTTCAGGGATATGGGACGCCGAGTCGTAGGTCTAGATTGATTATTCTTGCATCTTGGTATGTTTTCCCTTAGTTTCTTATCCCTTTATTGTCTTTTCTTACTTTACAACATATTCACAACATGCATAACCCTAACTTCCCCCACAGTCCTGGAGAACCCCTTCCCCACATGCCCCAATACACCTACCACGACCCGCAGCACCTCCACCCCTCCCAAAAACCCTACCTCACCCCCAACAAAGTTCTCTCCACCATCCCCCGCAACGCCCCCAACCACGATCCCTCGAGCGAAAGACTCCACCGCGCAGCCTACACCCCCTGGGACGGCAGCGTCATCTGCCGGGCGATTCTCACCAGCGGCGCCGGCGTCGGTCTCCCAAACGGCACTCGCGGAATGACGAATCGAGAACTCGCTGCGCTACAGGGATTTCCGCTCAAACACGTGTTTTACGGACTGGAAATTAAGAAACAGGTGGGTAATGCGGTGCCTCCAATTTTTGCAAGGAGGTTGTTTGAGAGTGTGAGGAGACAGCTGGAGAGGAGGGATGGGTGGGTTAGGGGAGAGGGGATTGTGCTTAGTTCTGATGAGGAGTAGAAGTAGGAGCTTGGGGATTTGGGATTTGGGAGAGCTGGGGGGATGGCTCAATGTGTTGTTTCTTGATACGTTGGAAGTATATGGGTAGAAATAAAGTACTGATGTGGTTAGAGTGGCAGAGACTCACATACAGAAAAGAAAATAAAACACCATTTGAGTAGCAAGTGTGTTTTTCAGTTCGATTTTTATAACAGGTAAACTACGTAGTTAGACGTCGAAATCTTTCGATTTAATCAGATCTAATCTAATCCAACAGTGTGAAACACTCGAGGTGTTTCGTTCCAAAACCAACCGACATCTAAATCGACCCCCTAAATCAATATACAGAACTTTCCTACTACCTACAACCGATATTTCACTCAGATTTTTGAGATCTTAGTTGTAAATGTCCGATGCGGTGTGCATGACTATGTATTCATGGGATAAGGTAATTACACTAAATCCATCCATCCATCCGTATTTGCATTCCAAAGACATCCGAATATCTCCTGCGAGGCAAGGAAATAAACTCTATCCCAACACTATGAAATTCCGTGGTATTCCAAGATTCCTTATTATTACACCTATAAACCCCCGCTTTGCATGCATAACCACATGCAAAGCCTATCACCTATCCCATTAAACCACACCCAAACAATGATATATATACCTCCACCCCCATCCCCAGCCCTCAGATAAAAAAAACTCCTAAAACCCCGCCTCATCAGCCTTGCCATTCGCATTCCTACTCCCACTCGCCTCCGCACCTCCCGAATTTCGAATCATGATTTCCTTTGGTTTACTCGGTTTCGCTCTTACCACATTCCGAATACTCGCTTCCCTCAACTCCGCGTTACTAAGACCGCTCCTCGGTCTGGAAGTACGGGATTCTCTCCCCGTATCACTACTTCTAGGTCTCTGAGCCCTAATCTCATCATCATCCACCTCTTGTTCTGCCTCTGTCGCATTCATGAAACTGCCCGCTTCCTCCGGCACATTTGAAAGGACGGTTTTGAGATCCCGATCGAGAGTAGTAGTTGGAGAGTCTTTGAGGGACAGGTTTTCCGGTTTTCTATTTGCAGAAACCTTTCCCTTCCAACTTCCTAATCCCAAAACTTTCCAAGCTTTCCCAAGTGAAAATTTCAATTCGCCATCATCTCCGGCATCTAGTTCGACGAGGGGACTAGATGATGATGCGCTGACATCGCTGGCATTGCTCCAATTTCTTCCATGTTGGCTTGGCCGACGGATTGGACTTACATCATGACCGTGGCGCAAATTCTGGTTCCTGAAATCAGGGAGTTCGGATTGTTGGTGTGGGGGGATGTCGAAATAGGATTGTGGTTGTTGAAGAGGAGGGGTGGATTCAACAGAGGGATTACGACGGCCCGACGATGTCTGAGAATAAGCAGAATCCGAGGTGGCTACTGGGTAGTATCCGCGACCTTGAGTTTGGGCGCGGTTACCAGGATAGGCGTGCGGGGAAAAGGGGGAGTATGGGTTAAAGGAAGGTGGGGTTACGACTTCAGGACCGTCGTGTCGGTCAGATGAAAATCGTTCAGTTGTTGGGTGAGAGTAATTTCGGACGCTACGCGACGCTTCTGAACTAGTCATTTGCAGAGGATCGGTTGATATTGAACTCATATCGGATGGTGATGGGTATGAAGGACGATGTCTATGTGATCGAGGGACATTAGATTCACTGCGTGTTTTTGCTTCCTTGAATGCCTTTGTGGCCTTCTTGAGGCGCCTTAAGATACAGAAAGCGGCGATCAGAATCACGAGGAGAATGAAAGCTGCGCCACCTATGATGCCACCAATTTCCGGTTTCGTAAGACCGCTGCTTGTTGGTGTACTCCCATTTGTTGCTTCGGCTTTTGGTATTGCGGTAGCCGTGGGTGTGAGTTTTGGGACGGCCGAAGCTTTTGATGTATTCGCCGGGACTGATGGTGACGCTGGAGTAGAGGCTGTAACTAATGTGGATGTAATAGTCTGTGTGTGCGAATTGCTGTCCGTCGTGGTCAAGGTCTCGGTCAATGTGAAAGTCGTTACTGCCGTGGAATAACAATCACTCAACCCACAGCCCATACCATTCTTACAACAACCGTAGTTCAATGAAGCCGGACATAAATATGAATTGACTCCACAAGTTTGGCTATACGAAACACCGGGAGAAGCGCTACATCCGTCAATTGCGCATGAGTAGCCAGTTGGACAACATCCACCTGTTTCCCTATCAGATAATTTGCGATATAATTTGGCATGTGATAAGAACTTACCTCCGGCATCAATTCCACAAGCTGTATATCCTGACACTCCACAAGCCGAAGCAGGAGCTGCGCTGGTGAGATAACAACTACTTGTACCGCAAGATCTGTTGTTTGGACAGCATCCTCCATTCATCGATTTAGGGCATAATTGATAATAGCTCGGACATTCTGATGCATCCCGTTTTCGCCCTTGAATCGCCTCGTGTATTTTATCCCAATGATTCGAACCCAATTTTCTCTTTACGATGCCCGGGTGTGATAATTTTGGAAACTTCGTCGTCATTGTAACTTGGGTTGTGGTAGTTGCCGAGCAGGATTCTCCATCGCAAACTTTATTAGCGGGGTAGCAATGCCCATCTTTGTTGTTTGCACATTGTTGAATGCCCTCGGGGTATTGATTGTCGAATTTATTATCCATTTGATTTGCCATTGTTTCGCGATATGTGTTTTGACTTTACTAATGCGAATTGTTCGTCTTTCGTTAGATATTATCCTGCAAATGCTTCTTGCTATCGCGAGCGCAATTGTGCAACACAAGCATCTAACGTCTGCCGATCTTTCTGTCCAAACTATTTGGTGCTGTGAGACCTGAAGCTGCAGCATGAAAGTTGGTATCGGCCCGCGAGATTTGCACTTTCGAACAGCGGGGTCTGTACTATAATGTCATGAAGTCTGATTGTATCAACGAAAGAAGGTCTTCGAAATTTAGATCAAGCGACTGTGCCCTTCTGGTCGCAGAAATACCGCGGTATAATGAGTGAACGATCTCTATTTCCCACGCTGTAAATCCCAGTAGAACAAAAACAAGGGTATATATCGCAAAGGGCGCCTCTTACGGACCTCACTTCGAAAATTCCACGTTCGGTAAAACGTGATGCAGGAACATAAACAACGATATTTGAATGAGAAAAATATCAAAAATATCAAAAGACCGACAAAATTCTTACTGAGAAATGCATTTAGTCACAGATGGGCATTTGGCAAAGTGAGAAGATTGTCCCGCTGAGGCTCCATAGCACTTATCTCAGCCTCCCAGGTTTCCATTTTGGGATCGATGACAAGCATGGGCTGATGATTGGTAGTAGTATCCCTATCTGATTGGGTGTTTCTGCCACACAGTATTGGGTGTCGAGGCAGTTCCAACAAATCAGAGTGACTAGGGGCGGAAGGAATCGAAGATGAGTAGAAGATACATTGATGCAATTAGCCAGTAGAAGTGAAGGTGGTGCTGATCGTGTATGCAGGACTACCTATGAGAAAGGACTCAACAAATTGTCATCGGACGTGGCTGGTGGTGTGGCCCGGAAAAGAGCAGCAGTAAATGTAAGATATGTACGTACACTGTCGTGTTGGTCAGAACCCCGCGAAGGAAGAGAAGCTGAGATAAGGATGACTGCGATATGAATGTGATACCAAAGAGTTTCTCCACTCTGCACTCGCGTTGTCTAAATGCAAAGTACAAAGACACAGACAGGAATTTGGTTCTCCTTGAACTATATAATTGACAAGCACGAACTGCACACAGAAAATGCTTGTCGCACCAACTTGGCTGCCAGCATGAATTCTCAAATGGGCAATCATGACCGAAGCTGTCGCTTGTCAGCTGCAAGTATCTATGCAATGCTTCAGATACAAATTTTCTTTTTCCGACATCTCAATTGGTGGAAATGAATCTTCTTCATGCGAGAAAGCGGCGTAGGTCCAAAAATGGTCGCTGTTCAGCCCCCAAATCAATAGATGACAGAGTTGGTTGCATCACAATATGCGTTCAGTGGTTTAGTACATATTGAGATTAGTCATCCACCTGATAAAGGACCATGTAGCTCCATCGCACAGATCATACCTATAATAGTAATAAGAAGTAGATAATAGCTCTCTTCGTTATTTAACATTATTATTGAAAATTTATACTGAAAACTGCACCAAGAACCTAAGCACCGCTCGTGTTCTGGCAAGAAATGGAGATGTCGACCAAATGCCACACGATGTTTGTTATGGATAATCCAAAAGAAAGATCAGAGATGAAGGCAGCCATCTCTCACTCTGCCTCATGAATAGCATCTTCCAAATTCATACTACATCCACATTTCATTCGAACAATATTATGTTTAAGGAATCGGTTCTCATACAATACGAGGAGTGCTGGCTCTTTCCAATTGCTGTATGGTTGGAGTGGTGTGAGGGACATTATACCTGGACAATCTTATAGCTTTGACACACCGAGTCTGGTCGCTCTTCATCTGCTCACTGCTTAATTGCAGTATCCAGAAGTCTGGGTCGCTATGCGTGACTAATTAAGATGGGAAGTCGCGAAATGTCTGATTTTTCCTTGCTTCTGTCTCTTCGCAATGAAGCTTCTTTCTGGAGGAAGGTTCGAATAGTTTGGCAACAATCCTCTATTGATCAGTCCGTTCACTCCTCAACCGTACTTTCCCAGTTTGTCGGGACTCGCTCAGACATTAGAAAAGTCTCATTGCATATTTACTTGCAAGCTCCTGCAATTCGCAAGAGTGCACAATATCTTGTCGTGTTGTGATCTAACAAAAATGCGTTGAGGTGCCTGCACACCTGGACAAGTGTCTTTGGTCATAGCCTAGTCGGTTAGATCAAAATAAAGCTATGATATGCACATCTGAAGAGCTTTCCTCTGTACCCGACGCGTTAGCACTTCTGTTCTTGGAGTGAGATCGGCTAGAAACAGGAAGTGAGGTGTTTCAAGTATTCACAAATTGAAATCAGAGTCTATCCAACACTTGGATCACATTGTACGCGCCTACTCTCTCAATTTCTCTCTTCCCAATCTGAAATAATTATTTGGGAAGTCACTACAGAGGACAAACAGAGTAAATTGGAAAGTCTGTAGGTTGGTGAATTGTTCTTTTTCCTAAGCTCAGTATTATTGTTGATTCCAAAATATCAATTAAACAGAAGGTACGAATCAAGAGTCGCCGATGCCTATGGTTGCTTTCACAGTGATTGGGGGTTTAGGAAGTTGCGTGGGAGAAGAGGTCTCGTAAATGAGTATAAAGGTCCACAATTCATCTCTCATCTTCGTTCTCAATCATACAACTCATACATTACAATATTCATACACAATTCAGATTCCAACATTCAATTATAAAACATTCATCCCAACTATTACGATTACAACAATGGTTCAAATCAAACAACACATTCTCAGTGCTCTTGCACCTATTGCTGCACTTTTTTCTCCCTCTCCTAGTCCAATTCAATCTGCGCCATTCACGCTGTCCGTTGTTTCTGAGAACAAGTATTTAGATGGCTCTTATATACACGGTTGTCACACTGGAGCTGCTCAAACCGCACTTTGTGCTTTCCCCAAGTGTCATGCTCGTCATGGGGAAAACTCTCCGGTATGTTGTCAATCCTTGTGTCTGAATTCACATCAATTCCTGAATTTATATGAGTGACGTACTGATAAGAATTTTCAGACTACCTTCTACTTCAACGTCTCCGCTCCCCTCGGCCCCCATCAGCCCTCAGGATCCCTAGTCTACAACTTGCCATATGATACGGATAAGTTTCTTTCCCAGTCGGCAAAAATGGAGTTTAATCGCTATACGCATGATTTTGCCCATCCTTTGTTTGCACATCCTGACGACACGGAAGGTATCTTTGTCTTCCACCACGATCGCTTGCACCTCAAAGACCATAGAGAGCAGCGATGGTACATCTGCGGTGGATATTCTCCTTTCTCCATCAATAGTTATCCCATTTTGGTTTGGTATCATGGAGTTGGAGATCCACATGCAGAATGTGTCAAGGTGGAGATCAAGAGGGCATTTGTTTAATTCCTGGATGTCGAGTAAAAACGATGAAGTAGTGAGATCTAGGCTATAGGGCAGCTGAGCTTTTGATAGGAATGACTTTTTTTCATTCGAGAAGGAAAATTCTCTGTGTATCAACAGCATTTGGGGGTATTGTTAACCCAGAGGCGGTTTCACTCTTGGGCAAGCGTTAGTTCTGGAAATATAAGTTTTAAATCGAGTTCTATCATCTTAGGTGCTACTTCCCTTGATTGTCTTCATTAATTCTTTTGAGCGAAGATTTTCGAAGGGTGACTGCAGCAGCTTCGGCTGTCGTGTCGTGGTAGACTTCTCGTGTAATTCTTCTCCATTTGCGAGCCGGGAAACCAAGCTTTATGTCAGAACTCTCTAATTTGCATTCTGTACACTACATCCATGCGATTTTCTCATGACTCTTTCTGGAATTATCAAGTAGGAGCCGGCCCCAATAAATTGCATAGACATATTTCTGTCTCGACTAGAGTCGAGATCTGGCCCCTATCACTCATTCCTGAGCATGCCAAGTCCACAGAATCTCCCCTCAAGCGAACACATTATGTTCTGATCCAATCACAATTATTATACTGGTGCATTGTAACATTACACCCCCATCAATAGATGTGCGGAAGCCTCTTGCCGTGGGGGCGGTGCAGGGGAGATTTCTTAAATTTAACTTGGCTGACTCAGCTGAGCTGAGTATCCAGGAACTCGAAATATCTTAAAGCTGACGAGTAATAATCATGTTCTGCCGTGCGAGACGCGCCCCCTTTTCTGAACTTAGACCATGTAGCCAAGCTACAAGTTGAAGCCTATCATTTTTGAAATATGGGATCAAAGTTATGCAGGCCCCAAGGATCTAGAAGTGTTTCAAATTATGCTTCTAAGATTCTGTATTCAGGATTTCAGCGGCCCTCTTATTATGAGCCTCATCTCAAGAAGGTGAAGATATGATTTTTCCCATTCATTGAAGGCAGCCGTAAGTTGATCCAATGACTTTCCAATCTATTCTGATCAAGAGATGTTTGTGAAGTCTACGCAGCTACTACCTGATACAAATATTCATCAGAGGTGTTTTTCTGGATTTTATGGTGTCAATAATGCGTCCTTTCAAGAAGAGTCATCGTATGTGCAATATTTTGATAGTCCCACGCGTTTCAATCATATTTTGTTTAAAATTAACTTTTCTAGCGTTATCCGGCAAGATTAAATACTACAGGCCTCTCGCAACAAGAACGGCGACTCTCATAATCCTGCTGGTAGCCACATTACTGCTCATCGCATTGCTCGAATATTCCTGCCATGTGATTACACAACACTCAGGGTTTGGGTCTACTGCTGAAGAACTTGTCAATATTACTCGCTCGAAGCTGAATGAGAGAAATGCAGATAAACATCAAAAAAGGGCTGGAGAAGCAAGTCTTCCCAATGAGATAAGCCCTTCTACTCCAGTGGGCTCTGCAGCATCCCCTTCTTTAGCTACAACTCCAATGACTTCATCTACAAAGTCTACCACTCAAACAATCTTTAACACTGCCGCGTCTACATATTTGACTGCCAAGGCGACAACAAACATACCGGTGCCAATTGTGATGCTTCTGACTAGTGAATATGTGTCAAAAATCACGGGTTTTCAACCTCCTATTAAAGTACCTATCTTTATTCTAAATCCTACCACCGCAGGTAAGGGATCATCACCTAGCAATGAAGATACCGCAGTGGATAAAGTCCCATTTACCTCCATAAAAGTTTCGGACAGCACCACTATCGAAGTAATCATATTTACATCAACTTCTAATAATTCAGACAGGACATTGGTTGAACCGATCATCACGTCGTCGTCCCCAATACGAATAGCACCTTCAACAAGCAATGGGTCTCAGAATGAGCCAACGACAGGTAATCCCACCTCCGTACCTACTGGGACGGCTAGGAACGACTCAAGTATGTTAGTCATTGTATCAACGTTCAAAAGTGTCTATGAAATTACCATCTTTCACACTAGCTCTAGTACTACTGTCGACAGACCAGTAGCGACGAGTGCCAATTCAAGTGGAACTTTCTTGTATCATAGCAACGGTGCAGTTACTGCACCAGATCAGATCACTTATCGACAATATCTCACAGCTTCATTTTTACCCCTTTTATTGGCTATGTTTTATGCGATTCCATGGCGCATTCTGGAAAACACAGTCCGATATATGGAACCCTTGTATCAACTAAGGCCATTCTCGCATTCCACAGTGTCTGAAGCCATACACATAGATTACGAGAGTCCATCGATATTCATTCTCCCTTTCAAATCTTTATCCCGGATACACCTTACAATGTTCATAACAAGTCTGATCTCAGTCATGATGCTTGCAGTCGCACCTCTTGCTTCGCAAGTCATGATAGTAGTTGAAAGTAATTATTGCGTAGGAACTGGTCTTGCCACCTGCGACAGCTGGGGAATATATCCTAGTTTTGCACGACTTCTCAAAGGATTACTAGGTTCCATTGCAATATTTACACTCTTCTTGATATTTGCAGGACTACGCCGAGATAGTGGTGTAAATAGTGAGCCATTAAGCTTAGCTGGGCTAGCAGTCATACGTCGCAAGACTCCCCTTTCAATACAGGCAATAAACGATAGCGAGACAAAATTAGAAGAAGAGGATATTCGCATCTCCACTCAGGGATATACGTTTTAAATGACAGCAGAAGGGGAGATGGCCAGTACGACACAAGACTCAACTCTCTTAAGGTCCAAGAGACGAGATGATTCCAAGAAGACATCACTATCCAAAGTGCTGAAAGGAATCAGGGCTCGACTACTTCACATTTGCATGCTTTGCTTATTGTGCGGCATTCTTGGAGTAGTAGCTGTGTACTACCAAACAGATGCGGATACCGGATTCAATCGATTCATGAATTCAAAAGGCTTCGGAGTTCGATTCTTTATGACGGCTCTGGGAACGGGAACCAATCTTCTGTGGTCGCGTGTTGACGATGGTTAGTCCCCGAATTTAACAGCAACTGATGTATCGAAGAAAGACGGTGGTGACTGACTAGAACATAGATTTCCGTAAGATTGATCCTTATCATCAGCTCCTTCGCGGCAACGCCAAGCCTCAGAAGTCCCATCTTAGCTCCCGTGCATATGAGTCCCTATTCAGCCCTCATTCCTTCCATAGGAAGAAAACATTATCTCGTCTCTTGGATTTCATTCTGTTCGATCCTCTCAGAGTTTCTACCGACAACCCTAGCAAATATACCATACGGTAAAACGGAGACACGCTTAGTGCTCCTAATCTGTTTTTATCTCGCCATGGCTATACTTTCGCTCATGATTATTGGTGTTGTTCTACTCCTCCTTAGATCTCGTCATGGTGTCAAGAGTCTTCCCAAAAAGCCTTGTACAATTGCAGCAAGGCTAGAGTATCTAGACCCAACTGGCGAGGTGGACGATTCGAACTTATTGAGAATTCTTGATGGACTAGCTTCACTCGAAAGAGAGGAGAGAGACGCACGGATCATTTCAAGGGTTAAACTATACAGTATGGGTATTGGCGAAGATGGGAAATTAAGAATTGATGAAGATGAGAGAACTGTGGGTAAATAGAGGAAGTAGAATCGTGATGGTGAAGACTTCTAATGTTTGAATGCCTCTCATGACATCCCGAGTTGCTTATTCAGATACTGGAAACTAGATACAAGATACATTCAAGATACATGACGTTATCATCATACCAGTCACAGCAGGAAGCGGAGGATATATTGATGGTTGTGATAGTTATGGAATGGGTTCTGGCAGATACTTGATGCCTTGTTCCGCTAGTTGGGTGCGGGAGGTGGCATATTCATGTATCCGATATATGGCTGAATTGAGGCGATCATGACGGATGAGAGCATCCGCAGAGATTATTCGGATACGATAAGTTCATGACGATTTTGATATAATACTACTGTAGTAACAACTTGTTGCTATTAGTAGATATAAAAAGTAAGAGGAAATTATGAACATCATTTTGATGCCTTGGCTCTCAAACGTCCAAAACTCCTAAAAGTCTAAATTGTATGTTTATCAACTTATAACTATATGCAATAGAGCAAATATATAAAAATCACACAGACAAACATCCAAGTCTAACTTCCTGTTAGGGATGATCCACTTTGATCTCACCTCGAATTGAACAGAAGATATTAGTATACGAATAAAAGAAAACCGCTTAAGTTGTCACTCTATTACAACTCGATGTTTATCTATGGTATTGTTTAGGTAGACCCTGGGCTATTTCTAGATTCAATCTGGATATATATTATGAAGAATAGTTGAAAGTGGTTGAACTAGCAAGATAATGAAATAATTGTTAGAAATATTAGATTCCAAGGACTATAAATGGAATTCGAGATATTATTTAGTTTATAAGTATCTATTCAACGATATAAAACCCTTCAATCAAAGCAAAAAGAGGAAAATACAAATCAAAAAGAAAAACAAATTGGGATAGATTAATTACGATCGAAAGGAGTTATTAGGCTAGGTAAACAATTGGAAATGGATACTTCAATCAAACCGAGGAAGGAATAAGCTATCCGAATTTCCGAAATCAATTTGAGAAAGGAGCAGATTGGACGAGCTCTTATATAGAGAATCAAATTGGAAGTTTCCTATTATTCGATATGAGCGAGACCCTTATCCTACTATATTCTATTCGATCACAATCAACTACTGTTGATTATCGATACAAAAATGCCTTATAGGAAGTTATGAATAATCAAATCGCCACAAGACAGGGGGACAATCATAGAGTCTTAAAAGAGGGCAAAGAGATCAAAAGGGACTTCCCTATATATACCTATCCCCCCCCTCCACTCCCGCTTCCACTCCCACGCCCAACGGCCTAAATAATGCGGGTGCTAGCTCGCACAAAACATATACATAGATCTAACTCCAAACCTCGCAAGCTTCGAAAACATCCACCCGACTTAAAATATCGAAAACATCCGATTATCAAAACTCCCGTAACACTTATCTGCTATTCATAATACGCAACCACTCATACATAATCAGCAGAATTTTCAATATCCGGCAAGTAGTAGCGACTATACGATTTCCTCCCTATTCTTGATACACAACTTTAATTCGTCATCGTGTGGTAGTCTGTCTGTCTGTCTACTCCAAGAATTTATCTACCCCTGCCAAGACTCGGTTGATAGACTGATCGGCTCACTTTATTGTATCTGTGAAATCCAGCCGCCATAATACCTAGGTATTTCAAGAGCGTAAGTAAATGGAACGGGTATCCGATAGTGCGATCTGCAATCTAACAATAGAAGATTTTGAATGTTTAAGAGAAGTTAGAAATGTGAAGATAGTTTAATATTTTAATCAAATTTAATATCTCGAATGATTTGAATATTCTATTTGGTTTGGGGATTTGATAATATTAATCTTCATTTCATTGTTGGATTGTAGTTTGGACTCTTGCTACCTATTGGATACCCTGGAATAGATGTATATCAACCACCTACGTTAAGGAGACTACCGAAAAGTCTCTGACGATTTTTGGAATGGCAAATGATGTTCTAATAAGGTTCTTCTATCTTCTATCTTGTAATTTGTAAAGATGGTCGGTATATTGGGAGAGAAAATGATGTGAGGAGGTGGGGGTTGTATTTTTCCAGCATCGTATGGTGGGGATGAGCAGCTTCTCTAACCCCATATCGGTGGGTTGAGATCTGTGGTCGATTTTGGGGGGGTAGGTGGTAGACGAAGAACAGTTGGAACAATCCGTTGGCATAGATGATATCACATCTATTCCCGAACACAAAATACACCGCTTAAAACGTCCCAGTTTCAGTCTCGCTCTGACTCTCACTCTCGTTTTTATTTCTCAAAGCCCCAAAATCAAATCCCCGATCCATCCCCAATCCATCTCTCTCCACGATGGATTGGAAAAATATCCATACCATCCAAATCCAATCTATTTTGTTTGAGAAATGAAGAGGGAGTACATACTCTACGGCACAGCGCGAATATTTTATTGGAAATCAGAATGAGTACTACGATCAGATAATGCGGTATAGAGGTACACAGGAAGACTCTCGGATATGTATTTAAAAAAATCCCCGTTCGAGGACTCGAAAAATGGGAATTTTGAGAAGCATTTTTCCAGAATGCCGAAGCATATAATGTGTTCCGAATCCGAAGAATGAAATGGAACGAGGGTTGATTTACAGAAACTGTTTTAGAGAATCGTGGGTACTCACTACTCACCCCTAACTACCCCCCCTTATGACGCAGAGAATGTTCTCGATTAGTCAAAGAGTGAAAAATGGGACATCGTCTTCTTCAATGCCGCGATGACGTTCGCAGCGTGAGTATATGCGCAGATCCACACTTGGGGTTTGAAAAGCTGCTATGCATTAGGTCGTTCTAGACTTTAATTTTGACATCTTCAGTACCTGTAATCCTCTCTGGTTATCACTTCCCCGAGGGCGAGATCACTGCTCTTTTAGTCTCAGTTGGGGAACTTGGCGAAGATCTTGCTCTTCTGTCGATCACCCCTCTTTCCGAAACATATTGCTTGGCTTCGGTCATCTGAATTATTTTTTCATTTTTGTAGCTGCAGATTCTATTTTCATGTTTGGGGGACAAACCATAGAAAGTTCGACGTCCTAGGCTATTTTGGGACTACACAGGTATACTTTGATTTATTTATTTGATCATGCAAACTACATTGAATGGAGGGATCATGACTAGTCTATTTGGGAAGGCAAGGTGCGGTATTTGGGGTTCATTCTCCTAGAGATTCGTATATTTGTATACTAGGCCAAATTGTACGATTGTATGGCAATACATGAAGCGTTGGAAGAAGGGGAGACCACAATGGATTTCCCCTTTGCATCTCCACTCTCAGACATATGGGTTTAAACCAATTTATGAACTGCACGCCCAAGATTTAGACCAGATCTGATTATGTGGCCCATTTGTCATACTGGTATCAGACAATGAGCTCTCTGACGTCGCCGCTGAGGGAGAGGGCCCTTGGGACGAATAGGGGGGGGGGGGGATCAAAGAGAGAAACATCAACAGAAAGAGAAAGAGCCAAGAAAGGAGCAATGCAGATAATCCAATTAACCGAAGCAGGCTCTAGAACAAAACATGCAGCAGCACACACCAGGAGTAGACAAGTAATCAGTTATCAGTAATCAAAAAACTACCCATCAAGCAAACAAATCCAAAAGGTGAAAACTATTGATCATCAAACCGCAATCCAGACTACTGGAGTTCCTACAACTATGCACATGGTAGTCATCAATGAATATCTTTTTCGCCCATCTCAACTGAGCTGCCCAGCTGCTCCGATCGTATCGCCGACACCCCTATCACCTGATAGAAGCAATAAGAAATTCAGGTATTGCGAATGGAAATCTTGCTGCTCTTGTCACATTTCATCTTGTGAATCGGGATCTTCAGTGAGAGGCATCATGTGATCCGCATTGCATTGGTCGGGCGTGGGGTGGGTGTCTTTCCCAATGTTTGAAGACTACTTATGTCTGTTTCGTGCAACCCTAGAACAGGAATCGAAGAAAGGATGTGTGGGGGTTGTGTTCAGATCTTGTGCTTTAGCTTGATTCTGTGATGATTTCGATGGTAAGTCTTGACGAATATCCTTGTAATTTCTAGGGATTTGACTTTCTATATCTGATGTTTTTTTGAGAGAAGACATATTTCCATATTCAATCTCGTATAGATATTGCTTTGGCTTTCCTTTCTATGCTTTGTGCTGCTTTTTGCGAAGATCTCGCAGAGTAAGTGAATTAGTTCCTATGGGTAACAATATCCAGTTCTCTTGGTGACTCTCCAGGCAAAACTGTGTAGTAGATCTGTGATATCACAACTGCTTTGTTGGCTTAGTTCTTGTTTTGTACCTTATATGGAGCGTTCTAGGCTTGAAAGTGTTTTTGTTTGTTTTGAAATAGCTTCCATACTGATATCCCCAAATCAATTCTTCACGAAAGCAGGATATCCACTACTTACTCCAAAACCTCAGGTTGTTTTTTCTCTTTTCGTCACAAATTGCATCCCAAACCTCTTCTCTACTTTGTTAATTTCTCTCCTGCCCATCCATTCATTTTGCTTTTGCGAAGGTATAGTAAATTGTGGATACGTAGGAATTGAATATTGTAGTATTGAATGCAGTAACTCATGGACATACCGAATCCACTTGGACTAAGTTTGGGCAACCACTGTCTCAATCATATGCAAAAGCTTGATAGACAGATGAATCGATGTATTAATTTCTGGAGACTTGGCATGACTATTTCAACACCCTACCCATTTCCTTTCTTTCTCACTCGAAAATATTGTTAGACAAAAGATTACACTGCGCATGTAGTTAAAATTGACGTATCACGAAAGGTCATCCAACCTCGTGGGTGCGGGACGTTTATTGTCTGTGTGTATACGGGTAGCATGCATATCCGCATCCAGAGTGAGCTTGGACTCTAGCTTGGCTTTGCTTTCAGTCTACCTGCAGTATATGTAAACAGTAGGTAGGTAGCTCCTGGTATGACTTCATATAGATGGCGATATCTGGAAATTTTGGATGAAAGGGTACAATGATTCGTATGCACCGCTACATTTCGACAAAAGAAAGATGAACGACCGGTCATGCCAAGTCATGCAGTATGTACTTTTCCTTACATTTTACATACAGACATGTTGAGAAATGATGTGAGGCTCACCTCAGGTAAGACACTATACCATGGTAATCGCACATTCATCTCACTATAGCAACTATGCAATAGCGTATGATACTAATGCAGATAAAAACCAATGTCATACCACCGCTGGAAAAAATTAAGGCCCGGTACTGGATGATCTACATTGGCAGTTGGTGGGTACATGCGCATATGTTTCACATATGAATAAGCATTATGCTGCAGCCGTGTAGATGAGTGGCTGTTGCACAACCTTATTGTCAATTGCCAATGAGGAGTTTCTGGATAGTGGCTGGAAACAAGGTGACTCGTATTGAGAAGGAATTTTTGAGAGGAAGACCATAAGGGGTTTGTTCATGGTAACTTTTTGTTATGTGTTTATGAATGGATAAATTCGCAATTCTTAAGCTGCGCTTCATTAATGTGTTCGATGTTCCAAAGAGAATTAATACGTAAATTGACTTCAGTGTTCCAAGCGATTGCAATGACCCACGTAGATCCAAAAACCCGGGTGACTCCAATATCTGTCATGTATTCGATAATCAAAAATCTCTCATTGTCGGGCACTATCCGGGCCCTTGATAGGCAAGAATAAATCGTGTTAAAAGTACACAACACAGCAATTGCGATCATGCGCCAGTGACAGTCAGGCTGATGATATTAAATTTCAATGCCTAAAGCGCCTCAACCCAAGATTACTCCTGTAAATGCCGTCCCTGTGTAGCAGTAACGACTTGGATGTGGGGGTATGAAATGTGGCAAATATTTCGCGGTGAGGAATTGATATGTATGAGTGATATGTAGTCGCAATTTGTAATGTACGATTAAGCGCTGGCTGCCGAATATCTGTGAACACGTGCAAATTGATAAACTTCCCGTCAATTGATACTTGTACTAGGCGTGGTTGTTGAAAGGATTGGCGCTCACCGGGGAGCCGGGTGTATCTGGAACTAGGGCCATGAAATTGTCAAAAGGAAGGTACATTCGCACGTGTGTCCGAATGAGCTTGTGTTAGGTTGAATATTACGATTGATAAACATAGAAATGAGGGATATCTTGCGGTGAGAAGAGAAATGTGATAACTTGAAGGAATCTGCTGTCCGTCGATCCTGAAAGCGCTTACTCTGATATCAACATCATCTGAGATACACATATTACAATCAGTATTGAGAATGACTTGAATTTGCCATGAATCTTATTGGCCAATTATCAACCAAGCAATATATATGTACTGCAACTTCAAGAAATCATGATGGTGTGACGATGGATGCCAAGTTACGGAGAAATGTGAGGAATTGATCTATGAGGGATTTAAATATATGTGAAATGTAAATTAAAAAGCTTATTTCGCGGTGTTGTGTAATGGTCACACAACATCCAAATAACCAACAGGGCGGAAAAGCATACAGTTTCAGGTGATGGGGAATGATGAAAACGGCATGGCCAACGGTGTGATGAGATTAATGATTGTGATTGGTCAAACATCGAGTGCAGCCAAAAGGATTTGGAATGTGGAGAGGTAAGCAGCAAACATATCATATTCTAAATTCGAGGATATGAGTGCACTCGCTGGAGATAACCCTAAGAGATCCTAGGCAGACATTGAAGATTCAAGAAACGATAGACTAGGTTCAAGGTAGGTAGGGAGGGACTTGTGATAATGCTGGATGAGCTGGCATATTCTGGGGTACTGTACTGTGCGAACTATTTCAAGATACTTGGCTTGCTCTCTCCCGTGTATGTGAGTGACCAAAAAGTGGCTGAAATGGAGAACTTCCTTCCATAGATGCAGTAAGTGTATACACACTAGGTGAAGCCGAGCCACTTCCGCGTACACATATATGTAAGATACTCTACGTTGGGCAAGAGAATATCTGGGGTACAAGATAAGAGAACCGGAGTCTGTATTTGAATGAGGAAGGAATAGCGAACTATTTGTAAACACATTGCAAAGTATGGAGTGGTGATTGAGGAGGTGACTAGCATGCATGATATTTCTGGAGTAAAGAATGGGGTAATGAACGCATGCAATGATACCAAGGTTGGGATTTGATGTTGATATTGATATGTGTACTACAAATCAAGGTGATTTGACGGTTGTATTCCGGAGAAGGAAGCTTGACTAACCAGTTGACAAGTTGACAGTTTGATCGTTTGACCGTTTGACCGTTTGACATTTTGACATTTTGATAATTTGACAGTTGTTTTGTGGAGGAGGAGTGAAGAGTAAACTTTTTGACTACCCCGCTGTTTGATTGATGTGAGTGATATCGATTGAGTGATGCAGCCAGCAGTGGAAGAGGGTTGGTCATAAATTCGACCAATTTCTTGATATAAACACACCGTGTACATAAAAAGTGACCTCGCACATGATTTTAACCTCACACCTCCAAGCGAATAAATAAACCCAGTGCTTTTTTGTACAATGTACGAGTATGTCTGATCAAGAACCCGGAGCAAAATTTCATCTTCATATAGGGCTGAATCCGAGAACGAAGCTTGGGGATGTTCTGCTCACCAAAGCTTATACGGGATACATACTGAGAAGGAGTATTCTATTCGTCTTCAGATTATTGGGTGGAATGACAGCAATGTTTGAATATCTTCACATGGATCCCATTTAGAGATGTAGGCAGAGGCCAAACAAGCAATTTTTTTCTGTAAACAATTCATGTTGGCGGTGATTGTTGGTTGTTATACTCGTGGGGTCTAGCAAGTGGTGGTTGATTGTTTCATGAATCAAGCGAAGGACGGCAAACCAGCAGAGGCCCCGCGCCAAGCAGCCATAGGGATTAAAACTTAAAGAGGACCAAGGGACGGTTGAGTGATGAAGTAATGATAAAGTAATGGTTAAGAATCATACGCCTATCGTATGTACTGTTGTTGGGACGGGTCACTGGTGTCCCTATACGAGCATAATAAGGGGAAAAGGTAGACCGGCCGATGCTCAGAGGGACTGAGCGATCCGACAGCGATACCAATTTCTCCTTTGTCAGTCTGTTGCCTTATTCCTGACCAAGTTCTCGAGAGCATCAAGACTTCATAATTTGCACAGCCATCCACGCTATTTCAAATTCATATCCATTGTTACATCATTTTCGTTGAAAGGAGCGCCCACGTACTTGCTTACTGCTTATTGATATTATACGTAGTCTACATTACTTGTACATCCATCCCTCATTCAACCGATGTGGCGAGGGGCTGCGGTAACAATGTATGTACTGTGGTATTATGAATTTGCGCTCTTCTCTCTTCTCGCTCTTGGTTTACTAGAGTTTTGAAGCGAGTGTGCTTACCAATCACCGTCTCATCTCAGTAAAAATGCTGGGAACAGTCATTTCTCAAAACAGCAGTTGATAGAAGAGAATAGATTTGATGGCAAAGGGAAATTCATGACAGCGAATGGATTTCCTTTCTTTTTCTTCATTTTGGGGGAGATCTTCCACATTCATCAGTCAGGCGTGCTTGTCCTGGGACTTTTCCGAGTCTCGGGATCTTTAAGGTGGGGTTGGAATCTTTGAGTTAGCTAACCTTGGCAAGATGACTTGTATGAGACAAATTACCATTGGTTTAATACTCGTACATCCAGTCTAAATCGCTCAATTTCTTTTGAGGGTATCAACACATACATTTGCCTTTCCCAAGAGGTTTCATGAACCATTGCGCTGTCGAAAGATATGATAGGGGCAAGCATTATCTTACCGACTTCGATAACACTCCATCATGCTGATCTTACCGCGACTCAATCTCCCAGATATGCTTGGTACGATAATGCTGTGTTGCCTTGAGGCTTGTATGTCGCTGGTAGTGAAGTCAACACATTCTAGAGGTAAATAGAAATCCATATCGAGAAAGACATGTATCAGCACGGCGAAGCCAACCAACTCTAGATGTCAATGAAATCTATATAGAGAAAGACATCAATGATACATGTATCAGTGCAATGTCCTTTGCACTCTCTGCTCAACCAACAGCAAAGAAAGGTCGGTCAACCTCACCCGGTCAAAGATTTGTAAGTTTTCATGGACCCTGGCTAAGTATATTTCCATGATTCCAGATACCGAGCAACGAGCGGTACATGCAATAATGAATGAATACGTAGTAGTATGGACGGACTATGGAGTATGTGCATCCAACATAAAAGAGGACCTGGAATTATTTCTTTTGGAGGATGCAGATGCGAAGTGTGAAAGACCCGAACCTTGGATGGAAAAAGATCCTTCCCCCTTTCCCTCATTTCCCCTAGTCTTCTTTTTTTCTTCCAACGTTCAACGTCAGCATCATGCAACTATCTTCATATGCATGATACAGCTCTGAATCCGGGAGGTTGTTGACCAGCAGACTAGGATTACATTACTCTATTCTCAGCACCGAATGCAATCTTTCTTTTCTTATTGCACGTAGGTAGGGAAATATGATGTACAAAGGGTGTACTTTAAGCATACCAAGGCGTAGTAGACATGTTATATACGTTAAATGTATGAGTATATGTGTGTGTGTGTGTGTGTGTAGATATGTGAGTAGATATGTGTATGTGCAGGCGTGAATTGTACACCAATCTAGCCATTGAAATTTCAACCAGGGGGTTAGCTTCATATTAATCCCTCATAGAAATGACCGTTTGAATAGAAAGAAAATTTTGATTTTTTTTTTTTTCCTTTGAAAGAATTTCTTTCGTTAGACCGAGGGACCTTTGGGATGAATTTTTTTGATATAGCTAGGACCTAGGTAGGTATTTTCCCTCCTTCGTACATTCATTCTATTTTACAAGCGATACCTTACTATTAAGAGAAAGATAAAATGAACATCGTGCACTTGTGCTAACTCCTATGCCATGAATTGCCTAGTCGAGGAGTATAGAGAGCTAGGTAGGTTAGCTCATATAGTACTGCAAGCGGACCGACCTTCTTCTTTACAACTTGCAAGCTTGAAGAATGGTCAAAAACCGGCTAGGTAGATAGTAGGTAGGTAGATAGGTACTAGGTAGATAGGTAGGGAGGGAGGTCGATAGACATGTATGTAATATGTGTAATATGTGTAATGTATGTAGATAGATATAGATCGATAGATCGATAGATTGATAGATACCTAGGTATAGATAGATAGGTACAAGTGTATGTATATAGATACGTATGTATGTATATATGTATATATGTGTATATGTGTATATGTGTATATGTGTATATGTATATAGGTCGATGCCTAGGTATAATAATAATTAATCCCTCTCACTCTCTCCCTCTCTCCAAATTTATAACAAAGGTTCGAAATAATAAGAGGCAAAAGAATTCCTCTCCGCTATCTTATTATATTCTTATATATCTGAATTCTTTAAAGTCTACCTAGTTATCCTCCCATTCTTATTAATTATAAATTGTTTCCAAGCAAGGCTGTGTGTACTTACTTACTTTCTTGCTTTAACTTGTACTCAATCCGCAACCATCGAAAATCCCAAGTATTATTATATCATACATACATCGGTGGTAGTACCCAGTTACAACCACTTCCATTACAGCCTCCACTTCCACTTCCACTTCCACTTCCACTTCAACCACAATTACAACCACAACTAGATCTACCTCGCCTCCTGCTCCCACGTCCAACTTATCTTACTTTTCCTTCTTACCTCTTCGTACCAACCGACTTCAAAAGCACCACAGCCCTTCTCTCAAAAAGGAATCCGGATACTTATACGACCGGGTCCCGATACAACATATACTACTAGTCTTGATATCTCCTAGTCTCTAGCACTATATCAATCCGGGAAACTCACATAAGCTTTTTTGGTGTGTGGCAGAGAAATCAAAGGGAAAAGCCAAATAATTTCAATTTCCATCTCCATCTCCATCTCCATCTCGTATAATTGGAGATTACGACTTTACTTCATCCCACCTCAGCATCACTTACTTTCTTCCAACTTCATTTGGGTATTCGCCTTCCAAAGAGAACGTATCAAAGCAGTTCCAATCATCCCTTCGATTTCCCCCAAAGGCAACCAGCAATCAACACAAGACAGTCCAGTTATATTCACTTCCATAATTGATACGCTGCTTCATTTCGATTTATAATTAAAAAAAAACCGGAATTTCCACTGTTCAATCTTATTCCGCATACGTCCCACACCCACACAACCCACACGCCCACAGAATAAAAACACAAATTTCCAACAAAGCACGGGCATTGCCCGCGACCTCCGCCTTTGGCGGATATCTTTTTACTGATTGCAACCGATACGAAAGCGCATCTCAAATTCTTCAAGAAAGCAAAGTCATCATGGCGTCGGTCGCAGTCCCAAGAGATTTTGCTGAGAAGGCACAACCCTCTCCTACGCCTTCTTTACCTTCGTCCTCACATGGATCTCCTCAATCTCGACCTACAACCTCCAATGTGAGCGCCATCACAAGCACGGAAAATCTAAGCATGAATGGAACTATGAATGGAACTATTACACCTCCTCCTCCTGCGGTTCTCAAGGCAGCACCTATGCCAACGACGGCCGAGAAACCTTCCATGACGAAACGTCTAACTCGAATGTTTTCTACAAAGGAATCGATACGGTCAGAAAGCAACTTTACATCTAGTGCCGCCTCTGGTTCCTCGACGCCAAAGGTTGTGGATGGCACAACATCTCCCAAATCATCTTCGAGACCTGGTTCTCTGTCCCGAAAGACATCATCACAAGAGAAGAAGAGTCCATCCGACAAATCGAGTGCCACACCGAGTACAAAGGATAAAAATGGTTCAACAAAAGACAAAAAGGCACCGGCAAACCATCAGCGATTTCTTACCATACCTGATGTGCAAGGGGGCCACGAGCATCATCTGAAGAGTGCCAAGAGACAAGAGAAACTTGGGGAAATGCTGCGAGGCTTAATTAGTGGGAAGGCGAAACAATCCGAAACCCATGAAGGCGAACAACAACTTTCACTCATGTCAAACTGGGTGGATCAACTGAAGCGTGAGAAAGAATCACTGGCTACAGAGAAGAAGGGTGGGCCCAATGCGACGGCAACATTGGTAGATAAATACGGGAAATGTAATGAAGTTATTGGTCGGGGCGCTTTCGGAATTGTCAGGATATCCCACAAGAGGTCCGAACAGGGAACCGAGCAGCTTTACGCTGTGAAGGAATTCCGAAGAAGACCCGAAGAGAACGAAAGAAAGTACAGCAAGAGACTCACTTCCGAATTCTGTATATCTTCCTCATTACGACACCCTAATGTCATCCATACCCTTGACCTCCTTCAAGACTCGAAGGGGGACTATTGTGAAGTCATGGAATTCTGTGCAGGTGGTGATCTTTACACTTTGGTGCTCGCCGCCGGAAAGCTTGAAGTTGTGGAAGCGGACTGTTACTTCAAACAGATGATGCGTGGCGTCGAATACATGCACGAGATGGGAGTTGCGCATCGAGATTTAAAACCAGAAAATCTTCTTTTGACCACACACGGTTCTTTGAAGATAACAGATTTTGGGAACGGCGAATGCTTTCGAATGGCTTGGGAGAAGGACGCACACATGGTAACTGGATTGTGTGGTTCCGCTCCTTACATCGCTCCAGAAGAGTACATTGACAAAGAATTCGACGCAAGAGCTGTTGACGTTTGGGCTACAGGTGTCATTTACATGGCAATGCGCACAGGACGTCACCTTTGGCGAGTCGCGAAGAGAGATGAAGATGAGTTCTATGAGAAGTATTTAGAAGGTCGAAGGGATGAGGAGGGATATGCTCCCATCGAGTCATTACATCGAGTACGTCTCCCTGCTACAATTCTTATATCTGTATGAGCTAACATGAATAAAGGCACGTTGTCGTAATGTCATTTACTCGATACTGGATCCAAATCCTCACCGTCGTATCACTGCTTCACAAGTTCTCAAGTCCGAATGGGGTCGTGAGATAAAGCTCTGTCAAGCAGGTGAGGAAGGACTCTGACATTATGTGCTGGATAGTGGGATTACATGCAGAAAAAGCATGTTCAAGAGCATGATCGAACAGGCAAATCTTCAAGGAGACCTCAAGCCATGTAGAATCGAACATAAATTCCGCTCGACCAGCAGCTTCAATTGTCAAGAATGTGGTTTCATTTGTTATTACGACCCTACTGGTATGGGAGCATATAAAGAATTGAAAGACGACACAGGTGTCTCTTCAACATGAGCATTGCGCAATGAAGGGTGGCATATTTCGCATGAGCATTACATTACAGCAACAGTATGGCGTTTGGGGAGATCTTTATAATAAGCAGCACAGCAAATTTCCTTCTTCTTTACGACCCTGGTTGCTTTGCTTTTTTGAAGCCTTGATGCACACTTTTTATTCATTTTGAGCCATGGGTCTTTTTTTTTTCGACTTCTTATGAATGGCGAATTGGGGGAGCAAACGATACAAAAAGGGATCTTCCTTTTATGAGTACCCATGATACAATCAAGACTATACATCTTACAGTCGTTATTTATCTTCTCCTTCTTCTTCTTCTTTGACCCTTTTTTGGACAATTACAACCTTTTATTCTTAGAGAGAAAGAGAGAGCTATGGGCTGGGAGTATTTGCTTTGGGTTTGGCCTGGCTCTGGTTCATGAGTAGTCTTGCTTTTGATGGATCGGAGATGGAGGTATGCACGAGTAAAAATAGCTTGCGATTCTTGGCTGTGGCTTTTTGATACTTATATGGCTGTGCGTGGCTCCGTTTTTTTGGTAGAGGATGGGATGGATGGCTGGTTGAAAAGGAAGGTGGTACTTGTGTTTTGAAGGTTCGGAACGATGAAGGGGATTATGATTTGAGGGATACGTAGATGGGAAAGGGAAGGTGATGGTGGAAGATTGTAGATAAATGATGAGAATACAGATCTGGAGATGGGTGAAGGAGGGATGAATTGATAGGTGAAAGGGATCTTGTTTGTGTAGGAATCGGATCGAATTGAATGAAGTGGAAAATAGAGAATGTGAATAAAGAGAGAACGAAAGAAGCAAAGAAAGATTAAATGAGTTTATGCGCATTTTTTATCCGTGTTCGTGTTTGTGGTATGATATGATGTGATGTGATATGCTCAAATCCAAACATGCAAGATATTGATCGGGAACCCCTTATAAATATCGCGTATTTATTTCCCCTTGACCCCCTTTCTCTCCTCTACGTATCTTTCTTTCTTTCCTTCCCTTCCCTATTCCTTTCCCTCCCTTGGCTTACAAGTAAGTACAGTACAGTACATATACACTCCCGCCTGATGAAGATAACCCAAACATACAAATATAGTTACATAGTAGTTATATAGTTACGAGTAAGTAACTACTCTTCTCGTCTATAGTTCTTATATACTTGTAGTTATTATAATACTTATAATCCTTATAGACTCACCTCACTCATATATAGATATAGATAAGAGACAAAAAATGGTATACCATACCATACCATACCATACCATACCATACCATACCATACCATACCATACCATATAAAATCTTCTACGACCCCCTCCCCCCCCCTCTTATCCTTTTACTTCTTTTATTTCTTTTGTCTCCTCTTATTCTCTCTCTTCTCATCTACTAGCTAACCCCTCAAATCCCCATCCCCATCCCAATCCCAATTCCAATACACGCTCCTATCAAAGGTCACCAACCATTCAACTTATAACAAATACCCTTGCCCTTTGCCCTCTCACTCCCATCTGGAAAACTACAAGCCCAATACTATTTTCCACTCTCTATCTCACCAGCTAGATACACGCACTCATCAATATACTATGCTGTACTGTACTATACTATACTTTAATCACTCCTGCGAAAGGAAACCCACACACAAGAAAAAACACACAACTCAAGTAGCACGAAGCGAAGAAGTGAAAATTATTAGAGAGTTCTTTCATTGACTTGAATATAGAACAGAATCCATTTCTTTTCTGTAAACATCTCCTCCTATCCTTATTTCCCTTTCCTTCCGTTTCTATTCCCATTCCCCATTCCCCATCCACCTCCTCAACCTTCAAAGGTTGCCGAAAAATCATGGAAAATCATTGTATGCCATTCCCTTTTCCCTAACCACCCATCCGTTCACCCACAAACCCCTCCATTTCACACCACCCCCAATCACCCTAGCGAATTAAATATAATTGTGTCCATTATAACCATGAATCAACGCATCAATCATATGAAGCAGTAAAAAGAAATCATTCGGTCGATCATAATGGCTCAAGAAAGTATACCGACAGGCACGTACAACATGCCCTGTCATCATAAAACGCAAAAAGAGTATTGCCTTTCCCAGAAGTAAAAGTGAAGCTCCGGTTATAGCATTATTTGTTTGATAGACAAAAGGAAAGAAGAAAAAGGGAGACATGACAACAACAAACAGCTAAGAATGGAAAAGATCCCAAGCCCGATTACACAGGCGCATGAACTCTTCCTTCTTCTGTTGTGAAGTCATTGGACTATCTCGTCCCTCTCCAAATGGTCCAGTTCGTCTTGATGTTGGTGGACCTTGTCCAAGTGGCGGACTAGCTCCCTCTTCATACTCTGCTCTAGGTCTTCTTCTACCGCTGCTTCGACCAGCTTCCGAAGGTCTCGCGTTGACATTTGTGGGTGATGGAGGAGTGGGGGGTTGATGACCTCCGTAATGTACGAGCTTAGGTAGAAGTTCAGCACGACCACCAGCCAGATCAGCCTGTGCTTCCTCAGCAGAACGGTATTCGCGAGGACGCTGATGGCCAGCAGACGCTGGTGGTTGTGAAGTATGTCCTGGGGATGGGAAACCTGGTCTGGAGTTGGAATGCGATGAATTAGAATTCGAGTTCGAATTTTGGTACACGTTTCCTCTTGGCGATTCACGGTGTGCACCTAGATTTTCAGCTGCGAAGACATCTGAAATTGGTGGTAGTCTGTTGGTGGTTTGGGTAGCAGGTACATGATGGATGTGAGATGTGTTAGAGAGATTTGACGGTTGATTTGCGACGTGGCGGGTTAGAGGTTGTGGTTGATGTCTGCCAGGAAAGCTGTGGTGCATTGGAGCAGATTGAATTACTCTCTCATTCGCAAATTGTTCATGGGATGGTGCGACAATGCTTAGTCCTGGCGGCGCCTTTCTTCTAGATGTACCTGGGGTTTTTGCTGGTAATCCACTCAACTCTCTTTCTTTAGCACTTTCCATTGGCGCATCACCAGGCTTAGCTGTTTGTTGTAACCGCGATTCGATAATATGTCTCTGTTGTTCACGGACAGATAAACTTCGCTGCAATTGTTCTCGCATCGTCGGATCTTGTGTGACGAAACCTGGCGAGAGACATGCCAATCCGACGTCCTGAATACCCAATCCACCGCTCTCTGCACCCCTACCTGTCAATTGACTGGCTGATGGTCTTCCAGTACCTGGATTGACGCTCGAGGTGTTTTTGGTGAGATCAAGCTTTCGAGGTCTGTGACGCGAAGTGGCAGTAATTTCAGGTGAGGATGGTTCCTTCTTAACGATAATCTTGGGTGGTGCACCGTTTCGAGATCTGTTGAAATTATGACATCAGTATTATTGATTTAATTTATCGATAATTTAATTCAAGGAATAATACATACGCAGTAGGTGAAGGTTTTGCTGAAGTTGATTTTGGACTTCCGCTCCCTGTACGCTGTGCCGCCATTGTTACGCTCGGTGTGGCCGATGTAGAAGGTATTCTTTGCGCCGGAGGAGAATTCGAGGGTTTTGAAGGAGCGATATCAACATATGATGATCTATCGTGAGGTACCGGTGAAGGGGCCATTGCAATAGCCGTACTCATTGTGATTGATGTATACAAATTGTATGCAAATTGTATGATTGAAGAGGAGAAAAAAAGAGAAGGTTCAATGTGGGAGATGGTGAAACTTGCTGATGTTTGAAAATGAGGGAGCTTTCTCGCTTCCTTGTCTCCAATCAATCCGCCTGTAAGCAAAAGTCTTGAATGACTCTGTACGCTTCGCAATGTATAGAGGAAGGATTCAAGAATGAATGCACACTTTACTTGTTGATGTGATGTGGTGCAGTCGTAAATGTCTTTTCTTTCCCTTTTCCCTTCCGATTCTTGTACTCTCCCTCTTTCCGTATCTTTCAAGATTCGGATTCGTGCGTCCGTCGGTCGGCGTATTTCCACAGATTCAGCGTAGAATTTGATTATGATACTTCTCTCCGATGTATCAAAGTATACAGTCGACAAACTACAGGATAAAGAGTAGGGTGAGATGTTGTGTTTACTTAATGGTGGATGTTGAGAATGTTGAGCCGAATGGTGGTTTGACTCGAGTTTTGACCTTTTACCAAGTACGTACGTAGTAAATGATGGATGAAAGGCAATGCGTATATTCCAGGTATCCCTAGTCCTTTTCTTGCGGTGGCTTTGATAATAGTGATGCGTTTAAATGAAAAAAGAGGATTTGAGGCTTAGATTTCGTTTCGTCTTCGAATGAATCAACTTGTAACAGACGGTACGAGACTGATATGCTATTGCGAAGAAGATGTTGATGGGTACTTCTCGTGTTGTAGTTGAAGTTGTAGTTGTAGTTGAGAATGGGAATGTAAATGGGACGGAAGCTTATCAGATATGATAGTGGTGATTGGTTGATTGATAGCTACTCGTATACTGGCTGGTGAGATGGAAAAAGTACTTTTGTAGTTGTTATAAATGAATTGATAACAAAAACTACACAGGACTCTGGGAAGTATCCTGAAGTGGTAAAAAGGAAGAAGAGAAGAAGAAGGAGGAGGAGGAGGAGAAGAAGTAATAACAGATCCGATCAGAGAGGGGTTCACCTTCATAAAGAAACGAGAGGTCGCAGTCGCAGTCGCAGCAGTCAGTCAGTCAGTCAGTTTGAGAAGGGTCAGAATCGGTCTTTATGGGTGGCGGTGAGGTTTTATGAATTTTAATTGGAATCGAGGCTTTTTCCAGGCTTTCGAGGTAATCGAGGTGATCGAGGTTTCTTAGGTGGGTGTGTTTCAGGTTATTTCGTATACAGGATAAGTAGGTCAGTTAAAAACTCTTGAGACTCTTAGCGGGATCCTATATGCTTATTGCTCCGTCGAGTATCATATTTATATATACAAGGTATATATATCATCTGTAGTAATAAGTCCCTAGACCAAGACGGATATTGATATAATCTCATCTCACTCATCTCACTCATATCAATCATATCACTTGTATCAGTTATCATCATCCATATAACAACAATAACATCTTCATTCTACATTGAACAAAAAAACCAACCCTCTCGATTCTTCCCTCTCATAACTCTGCAACTCTGAAATTAATCCGTTTAATTGGATTCGATCATGGAGGAGACGAAAAGAGTATTACCTCCACCCTCTTAAAGTGGTCAAGTAGGTCGATCACAAAAAAAGAAAAAGAAAGAACGAGGTTCAAACACCGGGTGCTAGTGCTAAGCAATGAGTGATGGTGGGTGCACTGGTGCTCTAATACTACTTGGGTTAGAGAGCAGGGTGGGAATGGATTCATTGGCTATCAAGGCTGTTTGTTCAAGGTTCTTCGGCTGTATGGCTGTTTGATTGTTTGACATGGCTGTTGGTAATGGATTCAATGGGTGCTCGATAATGCGTGCGTGATACGAGCGAGTTACATGCGCATCCGAGGTGCGGATTTATATGGATATGGAAAAGGTTGACAGAAACAAGGAGCTCGATATTCCAGACGACATCTTGGACACAGTACAGTAGAGAGATGGAGGGTCAACGTCTATGATAGATGTTGATACCGGACTTGAAGATTACTGCAAACCCTTTTCCCGGGACAATAGAGTAGCATTCCGTCCAGCAGTATAAAATATCACTGAAGGATCCCCGGTCAAGTGTCAATGCGTTACTTCCAACTCGTGTCGATTTTAATTATATACTCCGTAGTCCGACACTGGAAGTTTGGGCTTCTCACATGGAAAAGGAGGGTAGGAGAGGGGTTGAAATCGTGATAGATGCATGGAGATGAAGATGAAGGAAAAGCGTCGGATGAAATGGAGGGGAAATTATATGTTCCAGTCAAGTCACCAGTCTCACGTATTTTGGAATGCAACGGGCCCTTTCGTACGCATTCAAAGACGTAAACATGGGAAACTCGGATACTCTGTAGATTTTGTGAGCAAGTGGATTGGAAATTCAGTATGAAGGAATCTCCAAGGAATACAAAATTGGAGATGTATAAAGTTTTATTATGGAGGGAGGGATTGGGGATTTGATGAAGATCCAAATTATATTTCTATTCAGCAACACAACTTCTGACGCCTTTGTTTCTATGCCTGCTTTGGTTTGTTTGATCTGATATTTAAGGATTTGATTTAAGTTGAATATCAATGCTTGAGAGCGGGAGGTCATTGAGGTCATAACTTGGGATGGGATGAAGGATGGATTCGTATACTTTACGATATGCGGTTGTCAATATATGAGTAACTAGGTGATATCGGGACATTTCAGATATAACGATGGCAATAACTTACATGTTGCCATAGGAGATTTTCCTCCATGGTCAATCATGCAATTTACTCTACCGTTTACCCACGAAGTTCAATGTATTTTCAGGAAATGAAGCTCAAGAGAAGCTTGGACTTCATGAAAATCAACTATTGTTTTAGATTCAACTCAAGGCAGAGTGTGCGGTACCTAGTACCTGGCGGGAGTCGGATAAATAGGGAAGTTCTAGGAGAAAATAGTAGATTAGATCTGGCAGCTGGTGTCTGACTGGTGGATGTGGTCGGCTATCAAACATGAATCAAATCCCAAATGTCTTGGCCATCATTTTCTCTGCCAATGAATATAAGACATGCTTGATGTGAGAATTGCCGTTGGAAAGTTTCAGCTCAATCTTGAAGGGCGAAGGCAAAGTAGAAGAAACTGTGTTATTCTCGTCTTCTAAATCGCCCAAATCTCCCCAAAGATTTCTCGTCGTTCAAAACTCCAGAGATCGTTTTCCATGCTTTTGGGTTTCAACCCTTGTAGACCTGATCTGCAGGATCTGTAAATTCAATATTTCATAGTGCCCTAGTGAAACCCTTGCTAGTCCTCCATCAATTTTATCCAAATTGCACACCATTATCATTAGCTTATCGGTCGTCCCTTTCGTTTCAATGATAATTTTGTGAAATGAAGCATAGTCCTGATCTGGCCAATTTTTAATATACATCACACGAGTTTGAGAAAATCGTTAGATCTTGCATGTGAATATTGCTTGTAATGCCCCTCTCTATCACATTCATACGGATAATTGCATCAAAAGGATCTGATTTGTAAGATGTTTTCGACGTTCAATAATTCTCGCTTGCAGCCCTGACGATCAATCGTGTGTTGTGAGGATAAGCATGGTCTGTGAACACAAACCCCTCTTCTTTCGGACAACACAATATATATGATTCTTCTGATGGACGGTGAGCTTGAGCGATTGGAAGGTCATTCCAAGTTGGGATACAGTGGTGATAATTGTTTAATTTTCGGGTTGCCCGCTCTTTAGTAGACTCGTATTTCTCCTAAGCACGTATAAATCTGAATACCTAAGAGCCACAAAAGATGTACGTGACACAAGAAAGCTGACTTGGCTTCTTCAACTCCCAATCGGAGATCAATAAGATGCACATCAACATAGACAGCTTTCAGGTTTGACAGCTCCCGAGTCTATGATCATTCGTCGAACAACGAACTTTTAGAACTAGTTAAAGCAAGTAAGGACCGAAGCCAGCTTTGAAAAAGCCAGCGAGCCCCTCCTAGAGTCCAGAGTCCAGAGTCCACTGAAGGTGGTCCATGCGGACATGGTCCGAAGAATCCCTGTTAGAACTGCGACGGTTGCGTTTGACAAATTGATACCCTGGTCACAAAAAAATAACCAACCAAATGGCTCCATGAATGATCTTCCTTGAAACGCGGCTCAGCATCTCCCTCCAATCAAACTTCCCCACATGAAGGAGACGCGTTGGAAAGATTAAAGAGGAGAGAAGGAATCTTTGCGAACGAAGCTCACGTCACGTCGTGGAGAAGAAGTAATAAGTAAAGTAAGATAAATTAAAGAGAAAAAAAGATCGCTGGTATGATCATACGCGATTCGTGTCTCATCTTCTGAAAAAAGAGAGGGATGTTTCCAACTCAACAGATCAAAAATGGGGCATGAGACATGGGGCATCTGCATCTATTCGTGGCAAGGCTGTGTGCGATTTCACCTGAAGATGAGGCAATCGTGAGAAATCCATTCGTTGATCCTGCGCCACAATACTGTTTCGTACTCATAACAGGTGACTTCTAAGGTTTGTTATGTGCTGTATGTAGTGGAACAAGCCCCCAAGTTCTCAACGGCATCTTGGAACACATTCGATTGTCGAATTTGTCCAGTTCTCCGAATAGTAAAATCTGTATCGTATCGTTTCCGGCACATTGCAGAGATACTCCAGATTTGGCACTATTGATTTTTTTCCTCTACGTGAGCCTTGACCAACCTACCAACGGGCGACCAAAGATTTCCTAATCTTCCTTTGCCGCGCGCGAGTGTAACAGCCTAGAGTAACATCCCCCTTAAGCTAAGGCCATAAGATATATGACGTTCCCACAGCTGGCATAACGTTTGTCATTATCGAGATAACCCCTATTCTATAGCTTAACCTTTTCCTTGGGTCATACATAAGCCCGAGGCCTTTAAACGGCTGAAGCTCATTTGCCGCCACTGAGCGTCAAGGTTGGCTCTTTTAGCCTATCAGGAGTTGCATATGTGAAGCAAATCATCAAAAACAAACAATCTATTGGACTTTCAAACATTACTTGACCGAATTGGTAATTCTGGAAAAGGAGAAGAGCAGGATGCAAATCCCCTAGATTGACCACAGAAGTTCTAGAAAGCTGCGAAAACGTTATGGAAAGTAGTAAGGGGAAATATATGGGGGAATTGGATTTCACGCGAAGTCCCAAGTGACATGTGTAATGGCCTCAGGCATGAAGCAAAAACATTAAATCTCTTATCTACACGTGACCTTTGATAAAATTTATCAAAATTATCAATCTCGCAGTTCTTCACTAGCTAGACATTCCTTTGCGCCCATCTATCTCACGATATCACTCGCTCAAACAAATTAATCATGGCACCACGAAAGAAGGAAGTAGAGGCATCTGCACCAGCGCCCGCAGAAGATGTATCAATGGCGGAAGTGCCAGCGGAAACTGAAGGAGAAACCCTCATGCGCGAAGATCCGCACAACCCCGCTGCGATGATGTTCCAGGAACAGAGACTTCGTATTGTAAGAGCACACAGAAATCACAAGGGGAATTGCAGCAGTATAGTTAAGAGTGTTTGCTAACTTCGTGGGATTCAGCTTCCTGGATCGAGTGATAAGGCTGCATCTTTTGAGTTTAAGAAAGAAGATCACACATTAGGGAATGCGTTGAGATACATCATCATGAAGAAGTATGCCAGATTCCTGATAACTTGCAAATTTATCGGTTCAATTATACTGATCCTTCCCTTTCCAGTCCTGATGTTGAGTTCTGCGGTTATTCGATACCACATCCTTCGGAAGAGTTAATGAACATTCGAATTCAAACATATGGTCAGTATCGCCCGTTCTAGATTGTGTAGAGACGACTGGCTAATAATACAAATAGACAATTCAGCTGAAGATGCTTTAAGAAAGGGGTTAGATGATTTGATTGATCTTTGTGATGTGGTTGCCGATAAATTCACAGCAGCACGGGAGCAGCATGCCTCTCAGATGGAGTCGTAAGCAACTTAATGTATTGGGGCCAATAACTTAAATATCACGGCAATGGTAAGGCGTATAAAAGGGAAGGATCTCATGGAGTTCAATTGAGGTTCATTGGGATATGTACAAAGCGACAAAATAAAGATACCAACTTCTAATTGCGTCCCTTTGATTGAGGTCAGAAATGAATTGAAGATGAGAGCAACATTGTAGACATACCTCTAAGAAACCTGTCATGAAGTTCTGTGGTAATCTTGCAGTTGGGTCTTCTTCTGCTCGGAAATACTTCAAGATGTGAGGAAGTTGCTTCCAGTAGTTCAAAGTCTCCTGTAAAGCACGAAGTTAGTAGATAGACTTCATGTGTAACCCATCGCATTCCATGTCCCCTAATTGTGTTCCATATCGCTGCTGATGCCAAAGATCCTATCTCGCATGCCAGGTCCCCCTCTATAGCATACACTGCTCCGTGCAACCCCTCTTTCATCTTGTCCCCTCGCAATCCGGAGACATAATTTCCCAACCTCTTGAACATACCTGGAATTCTGCATGGCTCTCATACAATAGCTTGTCCACCGTTCCAATATGGTTCACGTATCTGTGCCTCTCAAACTCCGACCGCATCTTCGTCCTCAATTGTGAAACTGGCATGCCGAGAGAGTACATTGTTTGGATTTCCGGAGCCTACATCAACACCCATCAGTTTCCATGCTCCCTACACGCCCGCCGTTCTCTCCAGCCCTTCCAACGGTTACAGAACAAACATACAGCGCGGATCCATTCTCTATAGCTCTTCAACACTCTTGATTTCGCATCAGTCCAGTTAACAGCTACCGCATTAATTAGCCTTCCTTCTATGTCAAACACAGAGCACTATGGCCCATGGGGCACAAGAAGGTGAACTTACACTGGCGCGTCCGCTGCGCAAGATAAGTAGGATTAATAACCATTGTCGCTGAGTCGTTGTGATCAAATCTCCATTTAGTCCCCAGAAGTTGAGGTTCCTTGATAGAAGCAACCGATCAAAATATGTCACGTGGACGCGGTAAACCTTAATTTTTAGCTAGGAGCTCGAGGCTGACGAATTAATTTTTGAATGAGAGCTTGCTTGCTTGCTTCACCCCGCTACGAATCATATTATCTTATTGACACTCACACAACTACGACCTCACTTTCTATACCCGGATACACCACAACACTTCACGAGAACTCACCATAATTGTTGCCAATCTCATAACTACCACAATTACAACATAAACACCGTAACCATGCCTGCCATCCGCCACTCCTCCAAGCGCAAAGCTCCCCCAAATGGCTACAGCGATATTGAAGATTCTCTCCTCGTGTACAGCAACAAAATGAAAGATGCCATTGCAGCCCCACCATCCACCGGTCCCCGTCATCAAGCCACTTGGGAAATCACACAGATAAATCATCAGCGAAGTAGATACGTTTGGGATATGTACTGCGAAGAGAAGATCAGCAAGGAACTATATGACTGGTGTGTGAAGAACGGTCAATGTGATGCGACGCTCGTGGCAAAATGGAAGAAGGAGGGCTACGAGAAGGTACGTTTTATTCTTGGTGAAGGGTATGATGGATGCACGTTTGAGTGATTTGCTAATGTGTAATTGGATACAGTTATGCTGTCTTAAATGCGTCCAAACGAAAGAGACAAACTTTAACTCTACCTGTATATGCCGGGTCCCGAAGGCAGATCTGAAGGAGGACCAAGAGATTCAATGCGTTAGTTGCGGATGCAGGGGTTGTGCTTCGAGTGATTAGGCGGGCGGCCTTCTTACAGCTTGTTTGTGGATGTACTCATTACATTTGCTTTTTGGGGTGGAATGCAGAAATTCGAGAGCAGCGTTGGCTTCATCCAAGGGAGTGATGCGTACTATTTAGGTAATGATGGCCAGAGAACCAACACCTTTCTAGAATCGTTGTGGGAAGATTTGAGGAGATATCATATGTGAGATGACAGAGGAGGAGTAAAAGAATTTGGCGGGCATCATTTGCTTTGTATACTTTGATGATACCAGTATTTGGCATTTGGCGTTCAGGGCATTTGGATTGGTCAGGAGGGAAAGGGAACATTTAGAGTGATATTGGTCAAAGAATAGGGGTATTGAACGCAAAGTTTCAGAGATGGGCAGTATTGGAGGGAAATGCAATTATGTTGCGGCATTCATTCCCTGAATGTATCATCAAGGACGAGGGGGGGATTCTGAAGGAGTCCCGGAGCTCAGCACTACATATTTTGCAGTCTCCTGGCAAGGAAGTAGCTAAAAAGGGCCCAGGTCGTGTTTTCACAGAGCTAAGCTGCTGGCCTTTTGCGCAATAAGAATGGAAATGACATCCAGGGTTTACGACTGGCATCTGAACAATCCGCATCTCTGGGGAGATCTGCATGTGTTGCATCTGTTTTGAGAAAGCAATAGTCTCAATAGTAATGAAGAAGGAGAAATCAGTATCCGAATTACCCAACTAAATTGAGGATTTGGAAAAATTTCCAAGTATGGGCAGTGAGACTTCAAATATACTAGTAGACGCGACAAAATAATACCCGTTTAGTTCTGAAAACGCTTATTAGACGACATCCTTGAGATACCTAAAGTCATACAATAACAACGTCCAGATTAGCTAGCAACACAAGGGCACTTCTCCCCCGATTCTAGGCCCCGATTCGCTTCGGGTAAAATTGGGTATAAGCGCGGACTGGCAGGATGGACGTAGTGAGAAACTGACCAGGAGGCAGAGGCGGCGATGCTGGAATTGAACTGTTGAAATTTGCGTAGTATACATAGTAGAATATTCGATAAACAGAAAATAGGCACATTTGACAACATCTAGAGGAACCTTGTAAATCCAATACTCATAGCTTCTCGACGTAGCTATAATAAAAACAATTATCCTGTATTGCAAAATTATGGTATTCAAGAATCGTATCAACCCATCTGACAACTCACTACCAACATACGTTGAACGCCTGCTAGATTAATAACTTCACTTGACCATCTATGTCATGATATTTTCCCTTCCTCGATCTTTTCCTTTAGTTTCCACATGGCCCCGTGCACTACTTCTCAGACGTAGCCCCTTCTCTCTCACTGATATCTCTTCCAATATTCCTCGTATTCTCCACCGCCTTAGATACCAACTCGGAGAAAGCCTGGTGGCCTTCTGTGAGTTTCTCATGAAGAGAACGTTCATCTCTACATTCCTGGGCGCGATCTACAAGCCCCTTCCATCCTTCTTGAATTCTACCCTTCATCTCCGTATGATTTGGGAGATTTTTCATGTGACGATCAGCTTTATATTCCTTTTTGTGATCTACTCTTCGCGTCAGATAGACAGTCGCGGCTTGCCCTTGGACAGCACGAATTCGATCGACCTCTTGTTGGTAGGCAGTATCGTATATATTGAAATCGGCTGCTGTAGGGGATTCAGCTATCAATTCTTGTACGGGTTCATTTAGAGGATCGCCGTCTTCCCCAACCCCGGCACCAATTCCTAGGTACAGAGGCTGTTCGTCCAAAGGATCATGAGCGTGTCCCTTGTCACCAGATTGCTGTTCTCGAAACTCTGGGCGTTTTTCTATCGAATTAGATGAATCGGTCTTCGCGATACTACGTGATTTAACTTTCTTGACTATAGGCTCCTCATCCACTACAATTGTACTAGAAGAGTCCATTCGGCTCGCCATAGTCCTAGGACCATCAGCCGATGGATATGTTCCATCATGGTGTACACCTTCAGCGGCGAGTGCTGCTTCAACTAGACGTCTGTCCTCGAGATCCGAGCTTTTGGACCTATGGAGCGCGGATTCTTTTTGCTCGGTCATCCCCATAGATGGGTGTAGAACACGAATACCTTTCCCTAATGTCTCAGAGATAGCATTAGGTCTCCTCTGCTCCATTTTAGACTTGAACTTCTTCACAGCCTTCATGACCGCGAGAAGACCCCTCATTTTAGCAGTTATTGCATGATTGACCTCGATTTCACTCGGCGGCTCAACTAGATTGGCAATATTCTCTTCCTTTGGTAGTAATGGGTCAGTTCCATTATTAGTCACCCAGGGATGTTCCTACTAGATGTCAGCCGTATTCGGTAAAACGTATAGGGGAAGCATACGCGAATTTCATCCATAGTAATTCTTTTTTTCGGATCTTTTTCAAGAATTCTTCTCATTAAATCGACAAATTGAGGGTCGGTACTCGGCTCATAGTCAACCTCATCATTCTTGATCGCCTCATACAATTCAAGTACTCCGGTCCGTTCGAAAGGTATGTGACCGAAGCGCAGACAATACAATGAGATTCCCATGGACCATATGTCAGCTGCCCTTCCGGAAACATCGCCATGCTTCGTTAAGCACAATTCTGGAGGTAAAAATGCCGGAGACCCTGTAGATTTGGCTGTCATCATATCTGAAGCTTTTTCAAACATTTCAGAAACTCCAAAATCCACAACTTTCAGCACGTCGTCTTCGGTCAAAAGTAGATTATCCGGCTTGATGTCTCGGTGCACAACGCCTTGAGCATGAACTTCGTGATGTGAGCCATTGTATCAATACAGAAGATTACCGTGAGTACTTACGATATTCAATGCCAAGTATTAGATCTCTAAACCAGCATCTGCAACTTTCAACGTCATATGGATCTGCTTTCTCTCCAAGCCCAACCTTCATGACAACGCCTTTCTTACACATTTCCAAAACCATATAAAGAGAGTCTTCCTCAGGATCATCCAAGACTTCTATCAAACTAACGACATTGGGATGGTTCAATTTTTTCATGATAGCGATCTCCTCTTTAATGAGATACAAAGGATTTCCCCGTTGCTCATTGATATGGATGTCGGATGCCGAATGGCGATGAAGAGGGGAATTGAAACCGCTCCCTGCTGCGAAATGTCCGGGTCGTCTGACATAATGTGGCCTTCGAAGGATATTCGATTGTGCTCTTTTCCGTAACCTTGATTTGGAGAACTCTTTGACTGCCTATGTACCCAATATTAAACCAATGATCAATGGCTTAGACAGAAGCCCTTACAAATTCCGTTCCGTACTGATCCACCGCTAGATGAACAGCCCCAAAAGAGCCCCTGCCAATTTCATCTTTGATAATATACTGATTAATATGATGTTCGGCTCTCCCATCTTCTTCATTATTCATGTATTCGGATCTTGCATCAAGCGTTTCCTTTTGCAATCAGCTTATTTCTAAATGCGAATATCCAGATTGTGAGACTTGGGCCTAACCTTTACCTGCCGGTGTGCAGAGGCACTGCGACGGTGATGTCGAAGAGGACTTTGATATGCGGGGGTGGAACTTGAAGATCCATTAGCGGGAGATAAAGATAAGGAGGGGTCATTTGGAGGTGATTTACAGGTATTGTACCAAAGGTGGGCGACCATCAACTAATTCACCGGGTATATCGAGAGAAATGCCTATGAAGGAGGTAAGTCAGATTACACTATCAAGAGTATTGGTACTTGTGGTCGCGAGGTTGAAAGCCTTCACTTACCATGAGAAGGAAGAATGCCCGCATCAGCCTCTTTCTGGGAAATATCACCCGGATGACCTGGGTTTTCACAATCGCCAGCGAATGAAGACATTTTTTGTAGAAGTTAAATATCTCCCTTCATATCCCAAAGGCCAGCTATGTTGAAGGTCGAGCAAAAGAAAAGACAAAGAGAGCGGTATTGGGGTGGAAGGGGGGGAAGAAAGGTAAGATTGAACAGAACCGTAAGGCTACCAAAAATTACTCTGACGAATGAGGAGCTTTGGTCAAGGGGTCGGCCGATCTCTGGGATTAGAGGCATTAGGCTTGCTTAGCTTGATAAAAGCTTAATTTGATAGCGTGCGTTTAGCCTGTACTATCATGTTAATTTCGAACCTGGTTCTAAATTAAGGCCTACTAGGTACTATTCAACGTTGAACCACCCTTGCCGTACATAATCCATAATACATACCATAAAGAGTACATACCGACGAAGCCTTGTTAATAATAATAAGAGACGAGGCCGAAAGTGTCCCAAGAGAATATCAACATTCAGAAATACTTCAGGCTACATCTATATTCTCACCATGGTCGTTTATTCCTTTTACATATTCGATAGGCATAGTAAGTCAATACACGTCCTGGAATTTGCAATTGACACTAAATCATATCCCTCAGCCGAATGCATCTATTCCAAACTCTGGCACCGCAATAATGACCGACCCCTCTCCACCACCGGCGCAACTGCGCGACCCATTTCCGGCTCCAGCAACTCCAGCGCCGTACCTCCTCTCAATGTTCCAGAACTTGCCGTGCCGAAGAGTCGCCCCGGGAAGTTGAGCGCGCAAGACGATGCGAAATTGATATTTGGAACTATATTCTCGCTGCGGAATATGGTGAGAAAGTTAGGAGGACCGGATGATAGCTTCATATCGTTTCGAACGGCTCAGTATAAGTTACATTACTATGAGACGCCAACGAATATCAAGTTCGTGATGCTTACCGACACACAAACTCCAACTATGAGGCAGGTGCTACATCAGATATATGTCAATCTTTATGTGGAATTTGGTATGGCCCTCCCCATTATCGTTAATACAATGTGCTGATACTTCGCAGTTGTCAAGAACCCGCTGTCTCCCGTCGAGCACCCTGGAGGCGAAGGAGTTGCAAACGAGCTCTTCGAGCTGGCCCTTGACCAATTCGTTAAAGGCGTTCTTTGATGTATAATGCGCGTTACGAACTTGATGATTTTCACGCAGTGGATATTCAATGTCGCACAGCATTTAATTTTGGAATGTAATACAATAGAACATAGCTGCAGGTTGAGGCGTTTGGGGGTTATTGGAGTCGAGGTTAAAGGGGGCATATTAGTAGAATGGGGAGTTGAAATAGGAGCCGACCTGAGAAATCGAGGAAGTCAAAACGCCTGAACACCCAGTTCGGGGTTGGCTAGATAACATCATTGAAGCCGACTGGGTTTAGATTTGATAATCAAATGGTTTCCACGATATGTCTCACTTCACTCTTCATTGTCTAGGGTGGATTCGACAAATCAAACGATCTCCTATTCAAGGTACTTTGTATCCTGGACTTTGAAGATCAAATCATAACATGTACATCAAAGTGGGCCAAGCCGGATAGAACAGACGATACAGCTCTCAAAGGTTTAAAGAATGATACAATTATGCCATTATTTTGGTATCTTTTACATAACTCGTTTCTTCTTTCGCCTCAATGAATTTCCTGCAACCTTGCCCAATAATGATTCCCATATTCCAAAAATTCCCTCGACTTTGTATAACCCTCGCCTAGATCCAATCTACAAAGATGCTACTTTGTCCGCGGGGTCTGCCGCTTTTCCCCACGCACTTTCAAATCTGCTAGCAGTTCCCACGTCAATAAGACTATCTTGGCCATGCGAAGCCACAGAGGTCATTTCAGATTCGCCCAAGTCATTCCTTGGCACTAACACGGCACTCCCAAAGTCATCGATCGGATTAATCTCATTCTCGTGACTAGAGTAAACCACGGCGGCAAAAGCCTCTAATTCCCTAACCTGCTCCATGGCTTGAAGGTATTCATTGGGCACACCATTTCCAATGGAATGAGCCTGTCTGGTAAGCACAGCTAAAATCAATGGAAGCTTTACCGCGTTTGGCTCAACGATTTCAGTAACACGAGCATCTTCAGGTTGAGACGGAATCTTGAAGCTTTGTTGAGCGATCTTTTGTTCAACAAGAGTTGAGAAACCGGCATCAAGGAGCATAGTCAGAACGTGGGAGAATGGTGGAGAATCAATAAGATCCGAGGTTTCATCAAGGAGTCGTCTTAATGGTGACACGGGGGATGATGAAGGTGTCTCAGGCTCCATAGTTTTCATGCCGGATTCTTTGATGACAAAATCCTCTTGGTCTCGAGGGGGCAAGAGGTACTGTAACCAGCGAGTAGCCTGTCTGTCTTCAGGAGTGGCTCCTTCTACCTTTTTACGGACCTCAAGCGTCAATTCAGAGAACTTAGCCATGGTGAGCTCTTCCCTAATAGAAGTATCCTTGAACACTTCTTTTACCGCAGCTTCAACCTTGAACATAACATCTCTCCACCCTCTGTGAAGTAGCCACCAGCTGAATGTCAGATATCGTCTATTCGTCTCAAAGTCGTTTCCATAAGCTTGATCTGAATTGTCATCATCGTTGTTTTCCAAGCTTATTGTTGACTGCTCCACGCCGCCAGTAGCTAGTGAGACTACACTCGAAAGATAACTGCGACGTCCTAGGAGATTAAGTTGAATCCGTGTGAGTAGTGTGAGGAGAGAGAGTGTGTATATCAAAGTGAATGATCGCGTGATAGCTAGTAGATATTAGCAACGAATGTAAAATCGAACTTCAATTAGCTTACAGCTAATCTTAAGATCATTCCATAATTGCATCTTCGACCTTTTGATCTTTTGTGCTTGCTGTTCTCCTTGTTGTCCTCCATCTTGTGCCCCATCAAACACCAACTCTAATCCTGAAGGTATTCCGAGTTGGCTTATATGCATTCCACTATCACTAAAACTCACCATGCTTCTGCCATCGTCATCGGTAATACTGGGAGGACTGGAACCCCAATCTGATCGACGATCGGCTCCATTTCGTGCCTGCTTCGCAGCTTTTTGTTGTTGCAACTCGTCGGTGATTCTCTCCGTTCTCAATTCTGCAAGAATGTTCTCGGTGGCGGTGGGCAGGAGGGCCAAGACGGTGTAAGTACAATCCTCTTGATTTTGTTCAAACCGACGTCGAAGACTAAGAATAAGTGGATAAGCCATAAGTCACTATCTCGGTGGGTATCAAACTTTACTTCTCTCGAGCTATACGATCACTACTCATACGTTGTCGAGCATCATGAATCTTTCCTAGCACGTACTGAGTAGCTACATAGCCTACACCCATCACTCCGAAACCAATCGCAAGGGGAGTTCTATTCCTCCTTGCCCATTTGCGAAGGGAATTCATGATTTTGTTCTTTTAAAGAAAAAGAATCAAACTACAATCACATAACGTTGAAGGATGATTGTTTAAAAGCTTGAAAGTGTGAAGAAAATGAAATAATATTGAATGCTGAAATGATAAAGTTTTAATTATAAGATTTTCCTCAGGAACCTTGAAATGTGAGGAAAGCTCCTTTGTTGTCTCTGAAGGCCGAGGATGGTAATTTGCCAGCCGTGCCAGCCACAACTCGGCTGATGACAGACCCATTGATATACATGTACCGATAAGCATTCGAGTTTACTCCGTACACTATTGCATCTATTGCATAACTCCTTACCCCTCCATGTAAATGCACAAAGGCCAAAACGACCAAAGCTTAAAGTGCAAAGCTTTTATAAGGAGCACGATCGAACTCTGGAAACAACAAACACGAACACAAATGAGAAGATTGAATAGTGGCAATGGACCAGCGCAGACCGCCAGAGTATATTATTGAGGTGTTTGCGGACCCTACCTCGGTGAAAGAGGTCATTAGAGGCAAGTAGAAACGGTGTTTTCTTACCTTCGTCGACATGACTTGTTACTTTCATGCGCCTGCTAACTCGACTCCTATACAGGCATTCTACATACCATTTTCTTCCAACGCTTCTTCCCTTCTATTAGACCAAAGTCTCGCGATGTCTTGGACATGACTCTGCCATACATTGAGAATGTTGAAATTGAAACACTTATCGATCAAAGGACCGCTGCTCTGGTGCGGCAACTAGACACCACTTCGGAAACTGGCGCGAGAAATACCGGCGTTAGAGGACAAATGGCTGTTCAATTTTTTGAGAAGAAACGAAGGAAGGCTTGGTTCACGAAAGGCGTATGTTGATTCTGGAATCCAATTCCGATCATCCGGGTCGCATTCTCCCTATTCAAAGTATCTCCTTGCTAACTTGGACAACACAGGAGGAGGAGGTATGTTGGGAACAGTGGACTTTGGATGTTACATTGGCTACTCCGCGAACAGAAAGTGGTAAGGATATTCGAATGCTCCATTATATGGTTACGGCTGGCTCACACGGCGCTCTACAGAACGGGCAAAAGTTAGAAATGCGATGGAGGCGATGTTACTGAAAGCGGCAATGAAGATCGTAACAACAGTCAATATGGAGAAAGATCATATACCGCCTATTACCACGAGCGAGGCAAATCCATTTCCCTATCAGATTACTATAAACCCCAGAGCAGATAGTTGGGGAGCTCGTATGAGTTTGTTCTAACGCCACAAGATGATACGGGCATTGTAAATATTGACGTTGGCGTTTCGGAGCTGGATAGAGGATACTTTGGATACAGATACCCAATATGAATTGATTTTTATTCAACATGATCCCATGCATCTCCTTAACATAACAGTAAGTGATGTGAGGCACATGATGACGTATTCTACCCACTCTTTCCATACATTTATCCCCAGATAACCAAATGCTGTATGTATATTTGCAGATCCAGATATTCAACAACCCTTTACAAATCAACTTCATTGAAATAGTTATCATTGCTACCGTACTATGACCATACTTAAGGTATGGAGTTTAATGCCCGTATGTTGAAGAGATACTCAGCCATATGTTGTAAGTCAGTGTGCAAGTCACGAGTACAATAAACAGGTGCTCGTGCCAATAAACTTTCTTGGTTGTCATAGTGTTCAATGCTTTATAGAGATGCTCAACTATATGTTGCAATCAATACGAAAGTCACAAGTTAAATCATATAAGTAAGTTGCTCGTGCTAGACTTTCTTAATTCTCATAATATCATAAAATCGTAAATCTATATCACATTAGGCTTTGCTGAATCCCCTTCCCCTTCCACGCCCCCTGCCGAATCTAACACTACTCGGAACAAATCTCAGTGATGACATGGCTGTTTCTAAACCTTTCATCTGATCGTCTTCTGGCTCAAGAACTGACGCAGCCGTCTCAGATACTTCCATGGTATCATCTTCTGTCTGCGCTGGGGGGATGCCGGATCCACCAGTAGGTTCTTGGTTGATGCCTTGGTTGTTCAAAGTTGGCTCAGTAGTGGCGGCACGTTGCCTAACTTCTTCAACTTTCGTTTTTGCTGCCGAGCTGTGTCTTCGATGTCCATGGCGTCCTGATCTAAGCATGGAGCTTTTATGATCAATACCATCATTCACAACGAAGAAGTCATACTGCTGAGGGAACATATGTTTATCAATGAGATGCATACGTCTCTTCTGAGGAGTTGAGCATTTCCTATCACAGTCCTCAACAAAACAAGAATACTATTAAAGAATCAGTAGCTACAGACTATACACACTTAGGGATTATCTTACAATCTTTTCTCCTCGGTCTTTCCTAACACTAACCAATGCATCATGATTTTCCTCAATATGAAGATTGAGGAAATGTTCCGAAGGAAGGTTCTTACGACATTCCAAACATCTGTTCATGTGAGACTTTTTATAGTGTACTTCATAGTCATCGAATGATGGGAAGGATAATGTTCGCTGATGACCTGGCAAAGAGCACCGCATTACTGTAGGAGCTTCACCGGTCTCCTCACCAAGGTGAACAAATTTGGAGGAAGCTTGAGGTGTAGAATTTGAGGTAGCTTGGGTTTCCTGTGTGTCGGATGGATTGGGAGTCTCTATAATCTCTGGATCTGGAGAAGAAGGATCATCAAACTCTTCATCTCGTAAACGTTTTGTCATTGTGTAACAAGATGAAAGAAAATGAGAAGAGTGTTATAAGATGCGGGGTAATTACTCTTATTGTTGAAGAGTAGATATTCCTCTGCTTCAAATTCTCTTCTTTACCTTCGATGATTGATATATCCTCACCCACCTACGGTTAAGATATCGAAGCTAATCGATGAGAATAAGTGAGTTTAGAGAGTTGAAGAATGACACCTGGGAGTTGGAAAAAGAAGGCTGCTATCTCTGAGTAATATGTGGTGCAACAATGTCCCAATATAATAGCTGAGTATTATTGCTTTTTTGGTGACAACAGATTGCTTGTGTTGTGATATGCCATGTGGGAACCTCTGACATACTGGAAGGTCGGGTAGTATTTATATTGTACTGTATGGTTAAAAGTTGCGAGGCTGTCTTGGCGGAAATATAAGGCGGTGTACAAAAAGTAATGCGGCAGAAAAATAAGGGAAATCGTTGCCAGTAGGATACTGGAGCATCACTTCAATCATAACTCATCATCGATTCCTTCCCCTCATTCTCCTCATGTATTCTCATAAGCATAAGGCTCAGAAAGACCATAAAGTCTTTTTGTCATTTCAATCTTGCTTGATTCCTTGAAACGATAATCGAATAGTGAATTATATTTCATCGAATTTGTATTCACCTTGATTTTTTGGCAGATTCCCTAAACTTCCATTTTGTGATCTTCCCTCACATTTATTTTCCCACCAGACTCCATGGCCAACTCCTACAACCATTATTCTTGTGCAGGAAGACAAAAATCAACCTAACAATAAGTCGACCTTGGGGTTCTGTATAATCTCCCGAGGAACTTTAGCTATGGATAAATCTTCAATTCAACAAAACTGGCTGTAAGTTCCTATTGTCGCAGTCGCAAATATTGTGCCGCCGATTCATGCTAACTTTCGTCTCCTCAGCGTTGCACAAAAGATTGAAGAGGAGTTACAGTCGCAGCTGAATAAAGACTCCCCTACATTTGAAGATATTCAACATCTTCTCACACAGTCCGTTATTGTATTCTTGTCTTATCGCAGTACTCTAATCATGTCAGGTTGCGCATTGCTTGTGAAGCAGTTATCTTTGGCGACTTCGAATATGCTACTAAGCAGCGTGTACAACACCGTCTCTGGGATTCGCATAGTCTGATTAATTCCCGATATCGAAAGCTTGTCGCTCATTACCGTTCCGCCGATCAGAGACGCCGTGCTGTGGAGCGCCGAAAGCTAGAGAAGCACTATGTCGATTTCCTCAAAGAGAGTCAGTTTTTCTACAAGGGATACATCCAGCGTGTTGCTTCTCACTTTGGTCCTCTTCCTGCATTGCAACGCATCGCAAACCGTCTTTCTTTGAGCCCGCTGTCTGTGGACAAGCCTATCAAAGCTGGCAGAACCCTTGAACATCTGCTTAAGCTTTCCTGCCACTTCACCCTACTTCGTCTCGGAGACTTGAGTAGATATCGAAATGACTTAAGAACTAAAGAGCGCAGCTGGGACCCTGCCCTAGGATATTATTCTCTAGCTGAAGCTCTTTATCCCGATTCCGGCAATGCCCACAACCAGATGGCGGTCATTGCTCTCGCCGACGGCAGTCATCTCGATGCATTATACCATTTGTTACGTGCAGTTGCTGTCAAGGAACCCCATGCATTGGCTCGTGGAAACTTGGCTATTGAGTACAAAAAAATATCTACTAGCTGGGAGAAAGAAAGGCAGAGTAGACGTCGCCCAGCGCCCGTCGAGTCTGCTCTTGTCATTTGGTTCGTGAGACTACATGCAAGATTTTACAAGGGTGTGGAGTTTTCTACGCAAGGAGAATTAGAGAATGAAGTTTTGGGTCAATTGGTCTCGGCTTTGAAAGATCACTCTTTTGAGGAAACTCTAAACAAGTTGGTGCTAATCAATATGGCTGCAAATTATCTGGCAACCCAGAGGCTTACAGGTAAGTTGATCCCTCTTATCTTGATGTTAATTTTCCACGTAGAGATTTTGACATGATATGTAGAAGCAGAGGGTGGTGTAACCGATGACCTCAAAAAGTCTTTTTATTTCCTTCTTGGCTTCAATCTTCAGGTATTCTGCGTCCTGCTACAAGCACTTATCTCAGAGCTTGCCGATGCAGCCGAAGCAGAAAACCTGGAGTCTTTGACTGCCACAGATTCATCTGGCGATTCCTTCGAAAAGCTCAGCCCAGTCGCAATTAGAGTCCTCCCCACCATTCGACAATATTTCGCTTGGATTATCTCTCAACGTCTCCTTCTTGTCGGCCTTGGAGATGGAGTCGACAGGGAGTCTACAGGTCCATTAATTGGTCATATTCAGAGAATGTGGAAGACCGCTGCAGATGCGCTTTCCGCCCTCGTCGGGTTCTTTCCTGTCGCATCGCTTCCTTATCTTTCGTATTTGTTGCCTGAAGACGAACAGACACTTGGTTTTAAGCCTCTCCGGGATTTGCCAGATGGTTTGGAAGAATACAGTCTCTACAATAAAGATGATGGCTTTTTGAAAGCTCGTATCTCCGACGGTATCATTCGACAATCCCACAACGAAAATCATGCTCGTATCCGGGATATCTTACGAGCTGGCATGGCTCTCCATTTTGAAAAACCATGTCCAATTATGATGACCGATGATAGCAGATTTGTCTATGGTACCGAAAGCACTATCGTACCTCCTTCAAATGGCTCTGCAACACCAAGTCAGCCAGCGAAATCCACTTACGCTGTGCAGAATTACACGAACACCAGCAACGAGGTGGCTGTAGTATCGGACACCTTGGGCATTATGGATAATGAAATGAATCGTATGGTAGACGATTTACTCGAGCCTGCAAGTCTTGCTCCTAGCGAAGATACATCTTATGGTATGAGCAGCTCTACTGCAAATGCGGTATTTGCGCCTATTGGCTCTGAAAGAACACGTCCATTGGCAAGTAACCATATAACACCCACCAAAGGCTTTCCAAGTCTACCTGGAATCTGGGGCTCGCCCTTCACACCCAAGCCTAATGAGCTCCGACCCATCAGTCCCGAAAAGTCATCAAGCTCTGGTGGATTTCCATCAATGAATTACTCAACCAGTAAAGACCAACTTGCTGCTGTCGCGGCCCTCGACAACATGACTGGAATGCAACAACGAGGCACAAATGGTGTTGCGAATAATGCAAGGAACCAATTCTCATCTTCTGATGCCTCCACGCCAGTCAACCAAATGTTGCAGGAGTCATTGACGAAACAGTTCGGACCTATGTCAATCTCATCATCGGGGTTTTCAACAAATAGCAGCATCTATGGGAACAACTCACCACCAAAGGCATACTACGGTAGAATCTTGGGTCGCCCATCCTATAATAGCCATGATAGTAGTATCTATACTGATGCTAGCGAATTTGATCGGGGTACTATGTTACAGAGCTCAATTTGGAACAGTCAAACTGAGAATGACAATTACAACAATACACCCCCCGCTGGACAAGGTCACCGAGGCTGAGTTCAATTCATTATCATGAATCATTGAAGGTTCATCATAACCCACCAATCTAATAT